CCGAGGTTTAGGGGGCGCGTGCCGAGGTTTAGGGGGCGCGTGGCGAGGTTTAGGGGGCGCGTGGCGAGGTTTAGGGGGCGCGTGGCGAGGTTTAGGGGGCGCGTGGCGTGGTTTAGGGGGCGCATGGCGTGGTTTAGAGGGCGCTTCCCCGCCGGGTAGCAGAAGCACCAAAGGCTGCGATTTCCACATTATGCACCCCCCCGCCATGCTGATCGCATCACACGCATGTTTCTAACTTGCCAGGTGCATTGATGCTCCTGAGACGGAGGTGATGTACCCCCCCCCTGCCGCAGTGGGCTCCGTCTTCCTGCCACATGCTCGCCTGCACTCTCGCCACACGTTATGCGTCGGCAATGTGGGGCCCAGAGCTTTTAACGGCACGACAGTGTCTGGCCGCTTGGGTGGGGGGGGGGAGGGGCGGTAGATGTCCTTTTTTGTAAATGCAGCAGTCGGTGTATACATTTGTGGCCATTTAAATCCAGCAGCCCAGATTAACATCTTCAAAACATTTTATAAATGGATCACACCATTCACACCCCCATTTTTGGCTTGTCAAAACACTGGCACCACAGTTAATCAAATCAAGAAATATCTCCCCCTGGATTCGTGGGAATGGATATTAACTTCCACCCCCTCAATTCTGTGGCGCTCTTTTGCAAGACTGACGATAAAGCTACTGGCTGAAAAACACAACATCAAACCAAGGAAACAGATGAGCAGTATTCATGGAGCAGGCTGCCATCTGCACGCCATTTGTCTGCTGTCTTGTTTTTAAGGTGAAGCCTTGCCCCTCCACGAGCCTGTCAGCTGCGTGCTGACCCCCTCCATCCCACCCCCTCTGCTCAACATCAGGAAATGTCATTGGCTCCAGAGTAATTACTTTATGCTGCTCTGCCACCGCATGGGAGGTGCAAGACTTCAAAATAAGGCCCCTTCTCTGTATTTGAAATTGGGATTCCACTGTCAGTATTTACTCCCTAAGGAAGAAAAAAAAACAAAAACAAAACAAGCAAACAAAAGAAACACTATAACTGATGAAGACAGGAGGCATTACTTTCAACAAATCATAAGATGTGGCCCTCCCCAGCTGGGGGGGGGAGGATCTGGTGACCATAAAATCAGCTTCTGCGTCTGGCCCAGATCCAAACCACAACCCCCCCCCGTGTTCCTCCTCACGCCCTGACACCCATTCTGATTTCCTTTGAGTTTCCTCTTGTACCGACACACAAACCACCACCATGTTTTTTCTCAACTCCTGTACCCAAGTAACGTCGCTATTCCTTCCTCCTCTCCCCTCATCACAGTCAAGTCCAACAGCGGTCATACTAGTTAGCCATGGGAGTAGGCAAACACCTCATGGCTAGGAGGGATTCATCAGGCTCCGCATAATAGCAACCGCACATGGCACTTCTGTCAGCTCAAACTCTTGCCCCAGTCTTTACCCTGGATACTCTTCACTAAGTGACTCCAGCTATCCAGCAAGTTTGTCTCTATGAATATTAATGCAGGAGCGGTCATGCCCCATTGATCCTGAAAAACGAGACAAGCGAAATAATTGGTTACAATGTTTCATAAAGGAAAAGACTTTTGGATTAAAACTAATAATTAAATAGAGGGCTACATGGTAGCTCAGTGGACAGCTCTCTTTCCTTAATCACCAACCCCACCCTGTGCGTGGGGAGTTTGCTTGTTCTCTTTGTGATGCATCATTTGCCTCCCAAACACATGCACTTAGGAAAACTAGCATCTATAAACAGTCCATTGCATTTGTGTGTGCATGTTCTTTGATGGCCTGGCATCCCATCCAAGGTGTCTTATGCCCCTATGCTGCTGGGGAGGGGATTCAGGCCCCCTGCACTGGACAAATGACCGTAAGAGGAACAGATAGAATAAAGAGCAAAGCATTTATTTATTCTGGTAAATAAGGGATAAACAGGCAGGTCTGTATTCTGTACTGCAGACATATACACGTGCAAGAAAGTGTTGTATCCCTGACAACACATAAGAGTAGAAGTAGTACTCGTTAATTGCTTATCTTTGAAAACATCAATATAACAAAATTGAAGTATCTTCTTTAGCCAAAACAAAACCATTATATGATGACAGAAATACAAAAAAACACAATCATACAGAGTTTAAACTGTTGACCATTGACTTTCAGGCTCCCTTCTTTTGTACCCATGGTCATCGGCCAATAGTGCAATGTGACGGGCAGCATATCTAGGCTCGACTTGACTGTGCGTGTGATGTGAGCATTGAACAGAGATGGAGACACACGAGAGTCATGATAATCTGATAACACAAAGGTCAGTCTCAGCATCGCTTCCTCCTCCATGCACATCATCAAAAGCCAGCATCTGAATTCAGTCGTCAGAGAGCAGAATCGACAGTCAGACTGACTCCGCCTCGTAACGGCGGAATGACAGCTCGGAGCTCAGGTACAGTGGACGGGTGTGGGGCTGCTAATCACGGTGGCAGCGATCGAGTTACAGCAGTGCGGATGTCATCGTTTACTCAAATTTAGTTAGCCTGCCACTCAGTGCAAATTAAGAGTAGCGTTGGCCGGAAAGAAACTATATGTTAGTCAGCTAAATGATTTATTTTTTTTTATTCTGCTTGAACGCAAGGATGGAGCATAAAAAAAGAGGCAAAATCACATTCAGCCAATGACAGCTTACTGAAAAAAATCAAGCAGTGATGCGTCAAAAGGTTCACCCAAGTACACAGGGAAGGACAGCAGCTTTTGTACATCAGGATACAGCAAAATACGTGGGCCCATGTTTAAGACGAGAACACAATGTTAATAGGAAAAGGCGGCAGCCATCAAACTAAAAATAGAGGCTAAAAATGGGGAGCGCCAACGTTTCCACAGAACCACAAAAGACGAGTGAGAAGTACAGAGTCACCTCTGACACGCAGGACCAGCCTTAACTGTCAGCATTAATTGGGCCGTTGAATGCTTTGAGATTTCACACAGGAGCCTGGAAAATCCTCCCTTTCTCCGAGCGCAGGCGAGCACGACGCACTTCTGTTTAGTAAGGGGGCCCTTTTGTGTGCGGCAAACATGGGAAGGTCTTCAGAAACACCTCAGCCACCGCGGTTCGATTAACGGAGGCTGTTCGTATTGAGACTCCCATTTTTCGTGCCGCTCGCTTCCTGGAATACCCAGTGATCAGCCCGAGGCCTGGGGGGATGCAGATGACTACTGAGGACATCCTTCAGTGCAGTGCGTGTCCTTCTCGCATGCATCTCTCCCGCACGTGTTCCAGACGTGGTGAAGCCGTCCTCTGTGCCGGGGCTGGTTATCGGAGCTTGTGGGATCTATTCCGCTAAGCCCTTTACACAGTGCTGCCAAATGGAGGTCAGGTCAGCGAGAAACAACCAGACCGACTCAGGAAACCGTACAACTTCAGGGAAGCGGCGCTAAGGTGCCGGTTGAAGGCTCACTTAGTTTTAATCTCTATAAAACATTCAGAGCATTACGACAGACCGATACACAGCCCCAATACAGCTGGGGAGGAGGAGCATAGGTCACTGTCATACTCATTCAATCAATATTGTACCGGTGAAGCTAGCTTTGTTTTAATGGAAAATCTAGACAGATTATGAAAATAACTGTCGAGTTCAATGTGTCAAGACAAGAATCTCACTAAATGTACCTCACAATCCGCAAGGAGTCGCACAGTGTCCTCTGGAGTCTGGAGGCCCATTTTCCGACTGTTTACAGAATCAGGGGCACCATCGGCCCTCACTGGCTGCGGGACTGGCCGGCTTTCATTTCAGCTTGTGATTCTAATTAGTGGCTGATCACTAGAAAAGCTGCTCCTTTTGATTATTCAGCCCGGGACCCACTTTTCGACAAGCCTGGTAGCAATTTGTGGAGCCACAGGCAGCATGGATGTTTGGGTAATGGCTACTGGAAAATAAAAACACACAATCTCCCTTTATACACACATACACCTGATAAAAATCAAGCAGAGGTCCGTTCGTTAAGCCAAAGGCATTCTAGGCACTTCATACGGCACACCTAGGAACGGCCGTTACCCAGGGTGGAAAATCACTTCTCCTCATACACTTCCAGTCCAAGAGAAGATTCAAATGATTATTTTCCTTTCCTTGTGCCATAACTTAGTTTTTCTCCACCCATCACATCCCCTGAGTGTGTCCGTGTGATCACAGCCAGAGCATGTGTTTGATGGGCTGTAGATGTTCTGTGCAGCTTGACCTGGTGTGGCATGAGGACGCGGACAGGCTTTTGTTCTCTTATATCACCAGGCAACTCACCAGGGCCCAACGTATCCTTGGTAGTGATTTCTCTGCCTACTACTCAGCTATGGTACCCTGACTAATCAAGGTCCTCAAGTCTGTAGCAAAATGATGTCAATTATATTTTGCTGCTGCAGGAGTTCAGGACAACCCTCAGGCAGGAGGTCAACATGATCTGTGAAACGCAAGGCCTCCTTTAGGGTCGAGTACCCCCATTTGCTCCCCAGACCCACGGTGATACACTCCGCAAAGCGCCTCGCTTGTGTCAAACCATAGCATAGCTGCCTGAGGTAGCATGTCGCTGAGGGTCTGTTTACAGGGGCGGATTGGGTTTGAGAGGCGATAGCGGAAAAAAGTGCCGGTCAGGAAAGAGTCTAGGAAGGTGTATGTCGCAATAAACCCAGGGAAATTTTTATTAACGCGCACTCAACAGTTAATAAAGGATATAAAGGATCGCAAAATAAAACCAACAAACACAAACAAAAACCTACACCCATTACAGCTCTGGTGAAGATGGCATCTTCAGCTCAGAAACAAAATTCGCCTGATGACTGACACTTTATTTATGTTGTGGGTTGCGCTAACCTGACATGGAGGCATTCATGTTGATCTGCAAGCGTGCGTCATTGCAAGCATAGGCATTCAGTACCGGCGGTCGCATGCAACCATCCAGCAGCATTCAGAGTGCACGAGTGCAACGGCCGTGTGCTAAGTGCCCACATAATGATCCGCATGCGATATGTTCACAAGTAGGAAAATATTTGTTTGGCCAAACACAGCGAGTTTGTGTATGTCTGTGCTAGTACTGCGCTTGTGTCCCGGCATTGCATGCAGCCAGCCCCGGGCGGTGCAGGAATTACAGTAATAGGGCAGCATTTAAGCCAAAGCGCTGTCTGTCTGCGCCCCGCAGTGTGATTAGCAGGCTACGCTGGTGTAGGGAGTCTGGGCCTGCGAATCTACTGACCCCCCCACACCCAAAACACACACACGCAGGCAGGAGAAGCAAGAGAAGGAGGCAAAGGAGGGGGGGGGGATGTGCTGCCCTGACAGATTTATGTCCCCCGTCAGCAGGCCTCCTGGACGCTTCTCAAATGGCATCAAAAAAAAAACAAAAAAAAAAAAAACAGGCAAATGGTTTCAACTAGGGTTTTATTTATTTACGCGTCTCAACACGGCGCTGTGATTAAAATTCACCAACAAGCTAACTGAGCTAAAAAGGGGAGGTTCCCAACCTACCAGAGGTGCATGCGGTCCCAGTGAAGCAGGAAGCATCAAGAGGAGACACATCAGCATTGGGAAGAAGGAAAAACTCAAGAATAACTCCTTACAGCGGGGAAGGACGTGGCATTTAGGTGGACAGTGTCCAGCAGAGGGGAGAGTCATTAATGCAAAGACATTTGGTGTTTCCTGTTATACGTGAGCCACTCGGCTTTCCGGGAGCGTTAACCTGTTTGTTTTTCTTGAGCTTCGTAATGAGGACCAAACGAGACGGGCAGTAGTTAATGAGGTCTAAATAAAATGTGTTTATCAGTGCACAGTGTCAATACAGCAAAAAAAAATAAATACAATACACCCTCAAATGTACAGGAGATTCAGACGCAAACCAACACCCTGGTTACTTCAGATACAGGGGACACGAAGCTAAGCCTCAGCATCTTAACCATCTCGCATGAGTCAGGGGAGTCAGGGGTGAATGGGTGCTGTGTTTCCAGATGATATAAACATTGAGGAATATAATACTTGCAAAAATGAAGGCTGGGTGCGAGCTGACTGCAGTGCAATAAAAGCAGTCTGACAGAATTACAACCTGACTGCACTTTAATTTATTATCCATTGTCTTCTCATTCCACTTTAATCAACCCCAAGTTAAATAAATAAGTCCTACATTAATTGCAGGGACGATTTCGACGTTTGTTCTCAACACAGGGAAATACTGTGCAATTATGTTTTCTACGCTCTTTAACTGGAACAAACAGCTGACATGATCCGGCGTAGCATCGACAATGACCATCCGGAATGGTTCCACGGGAATCTGGCACTATTCTCGAAGTGAGGAATTTTATCCATTTCACACTGGATCAAAGATGAAAAGTGCAGTAGGTGCCACCATAGACAGGCCCCTGGAATGGTCTAGATGCTGAAGGTGCCACCATAGACAGGCCCCTGGAATGGTCTAGATGCTGAAGGTGCCACCATAGACAGGCCCCTGGAATGGTCTAGATGCTGAGCTCAGGTGGAGGGTTTAGGAGTGGTATTAGTAACCATGTGCACTTGCTCCTCAAGCTGCCTGGCCACTTCTTGGAGGATCACAACTCCATGGGCACTTTTCCACTGCAACAGCTACTGTACTTTTGGTACTTCAAGAAAGTACTTTAAGTGCAGTACATCAAGGAGTTGGTTTTCCACTGGCATAAAAACTGGTACTGGCGCCGAATGACATCAAAACTTGAGGCGGGTGTTTTATACTGAATTTGAAAAACCTCAATAGTATTTTATAAGACTGGACAATGTGCGATATTAATACCAACATCGCATGTTATGCGCATGCAATTCTTACATCTCTAGTCAGCTAGATCAGTTTTTCATACCTTCTTATTGTATGAACATTATAGGACAGCGGATTTAGTGTTTCACTAAAACATTTTTCTCTGTCATAGGGGAAAAAAAAAAAAACTTTGTACATTCTGCAATTTTAATGATTATTCCTTTTCAATGTTATCTAGTAGATGTTTTAAAATCAGTTTAAAGTTTACTGCTTTTGCATTACCTCTGCATCGTAATCATTTTCACCCTTGCTGTTTAAATCACTGCTAGATGGTTTGTGAGAAATTTATGTTGAACTCGTTTTTTTGCTTTATAAATACCCCAGTATTTATTACAGCAAAATCACACTGTGATATTTCCAATGCAGTGCTGTCCTACTTTATTCAAATACTTTATTTCTTGTCATGTCATCTTGATCTTGTTTTATCTGGCCCTTCCAGCTAGATCGCAATTTTAGCTTGCGTCTATTCATTTGTCCACGCATCCATTATTATTATTTTTTGCTTTGTTTGTCATTTTCTGAGTTCACAACTTTTTTCAGGACAGCAGTTGTATTGCGTTTCAGAGGCAGGCTATTTGCATAACCAATCACCAATGAACCCCAGCTGCTTGGATACTTCGGATACTGGAATTTGACTGGAAGTCAACAGAAAAGGGAAGGTACCGAAAGTACCATACCAAAAGTATGGTACCTGGTGTGGTAGAAAAGTGCCCTATGTGTCCCCATCCTGATGGGCGGACAATGGCTTGTGACAGCATCAAGCCACACTCGTCCCATCTCCTGGCCAACTATGCCTTCCACACAACCACCAAACCACTAGAAACGAATTTAGTCTGGGAGCGGGTGAAGGTCGATGGCCAAACACTGCTGAGAGGACAAAGGGAGGTCACTCACTGCAGCCCCGAACCACTGAAACCACAGCAAATGGTTTATGTACCAGTTAAGACAACCAAGGATGCACTTTACCAGGGCTGCATGATAATGGACATAATTTCAGATGTTGCGATGTGAACTTTTGCCGATAAACATAGTTGGAAATGTACCCAAAATAAAATGCAGCCAAACATAACGTATCTATCAATAATCTCCGTCAAAGTTGGTGGTGCTGCCACAGGTTGTGCTAACAGACAGAACTCAGTGCCAACAGATCACATGTTGTTGTTCAATATCTTCTCTCTGGAATCCAAAATATTTCCATACTGCGGAAGGCGATTGTCTTTTGGTGACCAGTTCTTGTTCGCTTTCCTCACCCTCACTCATTTCTGTTAAATTTCTCATAAACGCACCACACTGTCTATGAATGGTTTTGAGCTGCTGATGAAATTTCATCCTCAGGGAAAAACAGTAGGGGACCCCTACCTAACACTATTTATTTTTTATATATGATCTTAGCTATAAGAGCTTGCTAAGTTTTGTTTCCTATGACGGAGTAAAAATGTTTTAGTGAAACTTACTGACTATCTCAGCTAGGTTTACTATATTGCACTTTATGGAAATCTTGGAGAAATTTTATCAAGATTTAAAAATACCATCAAAATACCGTATACTGTAGTGTTATGTCCAGATGGTATGATGGCACAAAAAACGAGATTCTGTCCAAGCCCAACCTTAACCCAGTTGACCATCATGGTCCTTGCTATGTACATAATAGGCAATGTTGATATTACCATTGCATATTGTACAGACCTACATACTACTAATGCTTGTGTTGTTCTTCTCTCCTGATTCCGAGTCAGCAATGCTGGGATAGCAGGGTTTTAGAGCACACGCTTCCACCCATCCACCCATCGCCAGTCATTGACATCTTTTCTCACCCAACATTGACAGGCTGTCGGTACCTGATGAGTCTCCTGCCAGGAAGCAGCAGATGGTGGCATGTCAGTGCAACATCACCAGACCAACTGTGTTTTTATGAAACAGCTTATAATGGCTCAGCCTATCGTGGTTATAGAAAATGAGTGAATGGATTTCTCATAGCAGCAAAAGCAGTTAAATACCTTAATTACAACAGCTACATTCGAGAGGGGCTCAAATGTCAAGCAAGGAACGAGGGAAGCGAGAGGGAATTTTAAATAAATGTAGAGAATTATGGTCTTGCCAGAAAAAAATCATAACTTAACAAAACAGAATACATCTGGTTTTTGCAAGACCTTCGTCTGGTTTTTACCGCAGGATGTTTTAATGGCAATTCCTTCCATATCCAACTCGCTAAATCGCTTGGTTCTTCAACCTGTGACCACTGTAAAAGATAGTGAAGTTGACGCAGGGCTGAAATCTACTTGCCTTCAGTAACCGAGGCACAACTCAAAGGAGGAAACCATAATTCATCAGGGGTGATGAAACTTTGAAACACTGCTACAAATCTTTTTATAGTAAAATGAATTATTAGGAAAAAAAGATAGAACTAAATACTTAACTGCATGTTGCATGGATTGAATTCAGCTTACGATTACTTTTCATTGTAGCAGGTTTAAAAAATATATTTGTCACAGATAGATTTTACAATTAGTGGGAAATTTAGTGGGTTGCATACTGAAGAACAGTTACTGTGAAGATCCACACATGCCAGTCGAATACTGGGTGAACACATCATGCTGACAAGAAACGGTCCTGTATTGATGTAAATATGCTCAACTATTATAGCTGTGATATTTTTCTAATGAGACTGTATATCTTTTCTTTATGACTTTAAAATAATTGAAGGAAACACACAGATGAACCATTTATAATTACTTAATGAGTATTTCGAACAACTGAAATCAAAGCACAAATCACTTGAAATTAAAACGTCTTATGAAAAAGGTCACATTTTAGTCGTAATGCATAAAGCAAGTTCCCTAAAAACGTAGAAAATAAATAGTTTGCATTTTTTGCAAACAAAATAAACTGTTCATAGTGATCATATCTGTCTGGGTGAAATTGATCATTATAAGCAGATGATCATTATAACTGATTTTTTCTTTTTATTTAGGTCTGAGGAAAATTACCATTTAATTATTATATTTATTACACAAATATAAGATGATAAAACGGATGTCGCTATTTACTGAATTTTGTTGACTTTCAAAATAGAGTACAGCTGTTTCAAATGCTTTTCAAATTATAGTATTGCACAACTGAAATGACTGAACTGTGTATAATTCAAATACTCTACAATACAATACAGTACTATACATAAAAAAAGAGTTTATTGTAGTTTATGGCTTGTTTTTGGCAGTTTATCATAAACTTTGATGAGTCTATATTCATAGTTGAGAGAAAATGACTTTCTTTTTCCCATCATGTTTTCTGTGCACACAGCATTAGCTTCAGGTAGCTAGACAGAAGCAGATGGGTTACCACAAGGCAAAGTAGGCAAGTACAAAAAAAAAAGAATCGTAATTCAAAAATTTTCCATATGTTGTTATATGTAAAAAGACCCAAAATGAACACTATAAGCGGACTACTTAATTACTATAAGCAAATTACTTAAACAGCATTCGTACAGGAAAGGTTCTGTCTCAAGCTTTTTGATCCATATAAGCGGTTGATCACTATAACCATGATCACTATAAGTGGTTTCCACTGTATTTTAAATATTGCTAGTGATGAAACCAATTAGTTGTATTAGCTTTGGTAGCTGTTTCTCTGCAGTGTTTACATTTGATCTTTTTTTCGGCGTCAACTTCACTAAAGCCTCAATATGTCCAAATGACAGACATGGCCATTTTTGTTTTCTCTCAGTCGACTCAGTGTTTGAGTTCTCCTCCATCCTGTTCTATGTTGCAGACTGGACGGGGCGGAGTCACGTGACAATACACGTGGTGGAATAGTTAAAGGGGACAGTACATGAACACACACTGGGGAAAGTACTAACAGAATAAAAACGAAAAACCGAAATAACCGACATGGGCAAGATTATGTTGATTAAAGATTCTGAATGTCAGTTCTGATTTATTTTCGATTAATTGTCCTGCCCTAATGGATGCTTTCATTTAAATGTTTGATGAGTTCATGTATTCCCTTGAACATAATTTAAATGGTCTTCTGTACACTACTGAGGAAAGGTTTGAGGAACATGAAGTACTGCACGAGAGAGAAAGGCAGAAGGCGAGATGAATGCTGGAAACGTAAGGTCTAAGGTCAGCACGCTCCCTAATCCAGGCACGACAATCTATCATAAACCGAACCCTCAGAAACAGCCAAGATAAAGATCTGTCTTAGTCCACAAATATTCATTAGGTAGAACTTGTAGGCATCCTCCCATGCACCAATGTCCTTAAAAGAAGATTTTCGGAACTTAAAAGAAAGTAAAAAGCTGCTCAGCCCGTATTGCATGCGCGTGTTTGTGTGTGGGCGGATGTTTGTGTTCCGTACGCAGAGGTGGGGCGGAGGCAGGAGGCCGCGCTCCCAGGCCTGTCCCAACTTGGCTCCCTAATCTTTCGCTTCCTGCCCTTGCTTGGCGAAAAGGGGGCCACAGTAGACGCAGGGGTAGCACATAAAGAAGGCAGCAGCTGGCTTCGCCCCAGAACACCAGGCCTGCATACTTCACGGAGCTCAAATTAAATATCTCCCACGTCTGAAGTGCTTCCAGGAGCTAATGGCTTTTGTTGCCTGGTTTAATCCACACATCCTCTCCCACTTCCTGGGGGATTGGAGGCTTGCCCTTGCCCCCCCCCCCCACTTCTCATTTCTTCACTGACCACCCCACCCTGCCCATTTACAGTTTTGTTGTGCAACTACAGTATTGTGTAAAAGTTTCAAGCCGGCAAACAAAATGATGCTTAAGTTATATTTATTCTGAGTGTATGATGATGTCAAAGTGTGTTAGCGTAAGCCTTTCTAAACATCTAAAGCAGGGGTGGGCAATCTTATCCACAAAGGGCCAGTGTGTATGCGGGTTTTCGCTGCAAATCCACTAATTAGAGGATTGATTGGCTTAAGAGTCCTCACACCTGGGTTTAATCAGCTGACATAAAGGTTATCCCAAAAACCTGCACACACACTGGTCCTTTGCGGATAAGATTGGCCACCCCTGATCTAAAGCTGACCCCACAGTATTTGCAGTTACCATCCAATATACCCATGCATTTGTTGAACACTAGCACACCTTGTCTGACTGATCAATAAATCACTAAAATAATTCACCAATTAAGTTAATTAATTGAGCTGGTAGGTGAAATTTAAGAAATACATGGAATGGCTGCAGTGCCCCTGGGAAGAGGTTTAGGAACCAACGCTGTGTTCTAGCCACTCTACAAAGTATCAGTAACTTTTTGGAGAATAGAAGAAATTCTGTATTTTATTGCAATTGTCGGTGTGGCCTAAGACTGTGTAACAACAACGCATACTGTAGCATTCACAGAGGTCTAAACATAAAGAGCCAAAGAGCTACATGAGCTCAGCTGGTTTTGCTGTGGTGTTGAAGGACCCGGGTTCAGTCCTGGGGTTAGGGGAATGAATATGGTGTGGGCAGTGGTGTAGCACTGCGGGTTACAGCTCTGTGCCTGTCATCAGAAGGTTACCACTGTGGCCGGCAGGATAATCTTACTGTGGGTCGGTGAGCAAGACCTTTAACCCCAACTGCTCCAGGGACTGCTTGACCCTGCTCTCTCAATTGTATGTCGCTTTAGATAAAAACATCTGCTAAATAAATGTAAATAAATGAAAACCACTTAGAGGTGTCCGGCAGTTTGCCAGTACCGTGAAAACCACACTGCAGGGAAGCCCCCCCACAAGGACTCCATGAAAATCAAGCTTATTATCTCTGCCACTCCACATTTCAGTGTTTCAAAAAAAATAAAAACATCAACCTATAGAAAGCTGTACTGCCCAAAAAGTAGAAAGAATTAAGTCTCTCCACCTTCTGCCCTCCACGTAAGGTGAGCATGCCTGTCATACTGGCTTAGGGCCAAGGCTAAAGTAGGTCTATTCACTGCCTTATCCCTCAGAATGACGAATCCCAGCCCAGGGCTCAAAGTGATGACCTCATTTCTTCTGGCACCGAAGAGGAGAAATCTGGAGAAGAACACAGAGGTTCCTGTGACGGCCACCCAGGTGCCGACCAACCTTTATCAGAAAAGAAAGGCTCTTCGATTTTCAGCGCTGCCTGCCGGAGTTCAGTGAATGCATGGCACCTCTGAGCTGCGATCGAGCTGAAAGTTACGTTTATTGACGGAGTAAAAACAGAGAGAACATGGAGAGCCCACGAACAGACTTTGTACAGCACCTGTCTGATTGCCCTGATTCCTCATCTAACTTTAGTTTTTCTTTTTTTTCCCAGCAGTGGAAAACAGACTGTGAAAATAAAGGCCAAACATACTCCCACTGTACATAGTTTTTTGGTTGCGAATCGGAAAGATTCAAGCTGTGGTTCGCTAGAGTGGCTGGTAACACATGAAGCAAACTGAAGCCACACGCTGCTTTGCGAAGACCATTCCTGTTACCTTCAAACAGAATGGCTACCCTGTGTCGACGCATCACAGTGCAGGCTAGTGTTTCTCAAGCCGGTCCTCGGGGCCCCCCAGGACAGTCCACATTCTTACTCCCTCCCAGCACACCTGAACCAAACAATGAAGCAATCAGGAGCACAGATTACCTGGTACAGGTGCGATGGGGGCTGGGAGGGAACAAAAATGTGAACTATCTGGCAGTCTCCAAAGACTGGGTTGAGAAACATTATTGTAGACCACAGAACCTGGTGGATCGGGACCTATCCTCCTGGTGTAGGGCACTGCATCAACACAGCATGCCCTCCGTCACGTGACTACAGGGGATCACGGATACACCTCACAGGCAATGCAGCAGCAAAAAAAGTTTATGGAATCATTTTCACCTTGATCACCACCATGTGTTGCTCGAGGAGATGCGCGGCATCTCAAAAAGCATATGTTTACGGGCTGAAGGCAGACGTCTGTCGCTACGCTACCAAACCATCCGCAGCTACATTTACTTGTCTTGGCCGGGGAACACGTGCCGGCGGAACACGTGCCGGCGGAACACGTGTGCACCAGAAGATGGCGTTGCACGTGCACTCACCAGGGATATGCGCTGCCGAGAAGGCGTGGGTCGGCTAGAACGGGGAAGAGGGATTTACCTGGCCATCCCCAGGCTGGGAAACTCGGCGGGGACCACAAGCAGGTCCAGGCGTGCAAAGGGGTGAACCCCGAGGACGGCGCGGGCGGCGGCCAGGCAGGGGGCCAGCAGGGGAGGCAGAACGGCCGCCGCCTGCCGCAGGAGCTGGGACGGGGCAAAGACACGGTACGGGATGATCTCCTGGAGCAGTGCAGCAGCGCTGGTGAAGCGGCAGGGGTAATCCACGTGGGAGCACAGGACCCCGGCCAGGAAAGAGTCCTCGGCTGCAGACGGCTGCTCTGACGCCACGTTGCCCAGACCTGAATTCTCCATCCTACAGTTCAGGTTTGCACCCACACTCCTGCCAGCCAAGTTTTCTTCGCATGAGTTCTGGTTCCGATAAACTCTGCAACGCAAAGAATCACATTCTACCGGCCCGCACAAACAGCAGACTCCCTTAGCCATATGGCACAGAGTCTCTGAGAATGATTTCAGATACATATTTGTACTTTCTTGCCATATTCTGAATGATAAAGCTATACTGATACCTTATCATTCTAAATAGCTGAATCCAGTGCATTATGGGTTTAAGTTAACATGCAGAAATACTCATTCAGGTCAGGCAAACCTGCTCACCTGCTGGGTTGAGCAGAACAATCCCAAGTGGACCCCTCGCCTGAATGGGGCTTTGTTTCCGAAAACAAGTCTGTCGGTTCTCCTGGGGCTGGTCTCACCCTGGCCTCCACCCAGTGCCCCACCGCGATGGTGAAGGTAGAGGCAGGCATTGGCATTGTGACATAATAATCCCAGTGCGAGAACCCTGAAAAGCCCAGAAAGTGTCCAAATTGTCTCTTCAACAATGATATAGTAACAAGAAGACTGGCAAACAAAACAAGGGCACCAAAGACTCCTTTACTGTGCAAAGGGCACACATGAAGGTTAATTACATTTTGCTTTAGGGCTGTTACATCTATCAGTGACCTGCACAGAGTCAGATACTTTCTTAGTGATGTTAACATTTTTTATTTTCGCAATAAGTAAACAAGCTTGGTCAGAGTACCAGACACTTTCCCTTAATCTCTCTCATCTTGAAACCAAACCCAGTTTTTGTCATGGTAGAAGATTCACTTAAACACTAGCATGCCTGTAGATATGAGTCATGTTATGGGTGAGTCAGTCATAAAATCAGGTCCCAGGAAGGTACACAGCAAGGAGGCTGGGGGAGATCCTACAAAACGTGACAGATAGCAAGAAGCACCCAACCGTGCTCAATGGCAAAGATAACTTTAGATTGTTTTTTGGTGAGTTTACTTTGAGATAGCCAGGACTCCCTTTGACATATCTAAGGTGTGATGCACACCCAGATTCAGAGTTTGCTGCGATAACAGCAGGCAGAAAGGGATCGACCTACAGGTAGGTGTGTCCCAGCTGGCCACCTGCCACACACTGCTTTCCCACCAGCCAAACCCAACACTCATCAAACTCATCTTTCAAAGTGCGAAGCAACCACATCCACCCCCCACACCAAAGGCAAGATAAATCTCAGATACAGAAAACCCACGACACGTTCAGACAAACACTCATTTAGGGAAAGGCAATTAGTACCATTTTCTTCTGGAACAGGAAGGGCCTCATTCTCCCCGCTCAGCAAGGCCGTACATTCACTGGGAGCATGCACTCTGGCCTGCCACGTTGACATGGCAACTGGGGGTTCCTGACATGGGAAAAGGGCCCTGTTGTTGATTGGGGAACCCATGGTGTAAACACAAGACCTATAAGAGATAAGCATAAAGGTGGCATTAAACTTGGACCCTAATACATTCACCCAAAGCTATATCACTGATAGGACTCCAGCACAGAAGAGTCCGTATTCCAGTGCTGAATCTACGATCAGCCCAAAAACTCATAAAAAGACTAAGATTAAGTATCAAGCAGCGCTTAATCACTTAACCACAATAAACCGATAATTTTATTAGTAGTATTAAAGTAATTCTTTTGGGAAACTTACATGGCATATGCCTTTATTCCAGAGGGATTATTATACTTATTTATTAATTAAATGAGACCACAGTAGGAACACCCACTTGCCACTCTGGTCCTTGGTCCACCTCACCGACGTTCCCTCACACTTGGTCTCGTAACAGATCCTGATGCACCGAGGGAAGCAGTGGGGAGTCGGAACCCCCCTCTTCCAAATCTGCAGGCTCCAGCGGTCAGTGCTGAAGAGGAACTCCTCCCCTCTCCCAGGAGCTGGAGCCTGGCTGCACTGTCGGTACAGGTCATGCTGCTGCTCCCAGCATGTTGAAGGCAGATGGACAAGCTTATGCAGGAGAGGGATGGAAGGACAGGCAGGACAAAGACCCTTGCCTCCGGTCTCCTGTAGCACTTGCATTCCTGGCACAGAGGCCACATCCACCTCCTCCACCTTCGTCACAGCCAGGTCGCAGCAGTCCAGCACCAGCGTAAAGTCACCATTGCTTTTGCCTTCCCCGGGGGCCTCCTCTGAATCATCACTATGACAACAGCCTGTGTGTGAAGCATGCTGTCCATTATCACCCAGGAGCGCTGTGTCTAAGGATTCGGGGGCCTCTTGATGTCCGGCCACCCCCGAGAACTTCTGAATTTCCTCAGCACCTTTTGCCACCTCCAAGAACAGGACCACACTGCCTATGATGACCTTCTTCTCGAGGTGAACCTTCAAGTCCAGCACGTAGTGTCGCACTAACATTTGGCTGGTGTTTGCCTTAAGTGGCAGGTCATCTCTATTGGGGTCCAGGTGCAAACTCATCTCGTGTCCCGATTCCATGTTGGACCCAGAACACTGCAGAACAGGCAAGTCTAAGTTAATAATTGGCTGGACATGGCAGTTTGATTGCAATGTGCCAATTTAAACATACACTATTAGAGTCACATGACCTCATAAAACTTGCCTCTATAGCAATTGGAGATTTACTTGACAAATATCACCACAATTTAATGAAACAGAATAAATCAATGAAAACATTCGCTATTGTGCCCTTTGAAATGCTTCTCGAGAACGCACAATTAGATATCACTGAATCAAAATGTTTCCTGAATAAGATGACAGTGGCTACACCCAGTGCTTAATTTTTAACCATCCATGCTGCAATGTGTCGTGACATAAATAGATTTAAAACAGGTTTAAATGTAATTTACAGGTAATGTGAGAACACTTGCCATTTTGATGAGTGTCTCAAAACAGTCAACGCCTGGTACCACACACAAAAGTAAAGTACTTAGCAACTATATGATAATTCTAAATGATTAAGAGAGTGGTTTCCGGGGTTCAGAAAAGTAGGACAGAGAGTCAAGCGCCCTCCTTCCACACCAAGCTGCAAATAAGTACTCTGCAGATGCTGCAGCACCAAGAGGAAGTCTGGGTCAGTTTACAGTTCAACAGAACAGGGCTGTAAGATTAATTAAATAGCGAGAGTCCTGAAACGTGACTCTCAAGAGCCTAGAGCAAACAGCCCAAAATTAACTCCTGGAACAGAGCAGAAAGATTTTCACGCAATCTGCGATTGGAACCATAAAATATTTTATGAATTGCCACATCATTGACAGTGTCACCTATCACGGTATTACAACCTGCATCATGTGTTACTACTGCTCGATTTACATAGACATTCCAAACGCTATACTGTCAACCAATTGAAGTCGTTATATGTTTTTTTACAATTCAAGTTGCACAGCAGGATACATGCTATTGTCTGTGTCAAAAGACACACAAAAAAAGGTGTAATAAGCATATCAAAACCTGTGTGTGTGCGTATGTCTATGTGTGTGTCTGTGTGAGTGTGCGCATGTGTGTAAATTAAGTGACGCCTCCCAAGATTTACCTACCTATTGTTTCAGTTTAATGCAAATGTACAAATTAAACTACTTTCAGATGCTAGGTGGATATTGAGGTACAATGCATTCATACATAAGCACTTTAAAAATCCATTCATAACGCCCATGCACAAAACCTGTTCTTCTGTTATGACAAGAAAACGTCTTAAGTATTATATTATCATGATGATTTTATTCGAAAACGTTCATTTCCTGTATTCATGTTACACACTATAGGGTGTATTTATTGTTTACGTATTTAACGGGGGAAAACACGAAAGAAGCGACACCCGAGGGAAAATATGGCAGATGAAGCCACTGGCAACCTTAACCAAAGAAAACTGACTAGTTCGAATTTAATATACTCGAAACAAACATGGCTGCATGTTTTTAACGGGTAGCTGATTGTCTAAATTACCAAATTGTATTAAGTAATGAATTGTGTAAAACTGCAGTTTACAAAGCCAGCCAACGAAACGCACTTAGCTGCCTTTATTAAAGGTGGCAAACGCATAATGTTAAAGCGCAGCAAAGTAATGTTAACGAAAAGCCGCCTAACTGGCTATCTTAAGTTGCTACTAAAGGCAATCTTTAAACTTCAAATTCAACCAGATGTTACACAAATTGATCAAAACATCTCAACCACTGCAGACTGAAACGGTAACAACGGGACTCGACCACAAACCCAAAGAACTACAGGCGACCTGCATCAGCTCGAGCTCGCGCCTCCAGCGGAAGTCGTCATCTCTCGGCGACCGGAAGCGCAGTTGTACTTTCAGGCGCTTTTAGTGGTGGCTGTTGAAATGTAAAGTTATAGGAAGGCAAGTATCTGTTGAAGTTCTTTGCTAAAATATGGGAGGTTCGGCAATCGCGACCATTATTTACTGTGGTTTTATGTGTGAAATGGCTGTTTTTACAAAGTAAGAATTAATTTGGGTTTAAGTCAGGGCACCTTATTCTGGGTGTCTGACATCTGAACGAGTATGAACTGGTATTCGACACTTGAATCTCTTGACTTTTTAGGTTATTACTAACCGAAAGGAACCTGTCCAAAAACTGATTTAAAAGAATGATTTTGTTATCCCATAACATAAACGTTCTTCAAACGTTTGTAAATTTTAGTCTTGTTCACATTTCTATGCTGGTTGTTATGGAAAGCTAGAATATACCTTTCCTCGCAGTTCAAAAACAAGATGTTCAGGTGAATTGGCCAATACACATTTCTTAACACGTGTACCCTCTACTGGACTGACATCCAATTCAGGATGTGTGTGATGTACACCTAGTGGTTTCTGGGATAGGTTCCAGGTCACTGAGACCCTGGCTTACGTGTTTTACAACATCTGGGCCAGTCCTTTTTAGGAAGCTGGCTGTAGCAAAAGTCTGTGTTCCCATAGCTTATTTAGGACCGGAATTAAGATACCCTCGGTTACACTGCTATGGACCTGAAAATATTTTTATTTAGACGAAACACAGTATATGTACATAACATGTTTTTATTTGGGAAAAAAACATCTATCGAGTGCATCATATTACAATTACACTGAGCCCATTTACAGCGCATGTAAAACATCACAGTATTCTAAAATACATAAAACATTGCCAAAACAGTTTCCAGTGCTTAATTTTTCTGTTAATAATACCACAGGTTTTGTCTTATAAAGCAGCAAAGTTTCTTGTAACAGACAATATGATTATTTATAAACTGGAATAAAAATACTTTTTTTCCTGACTAACTTACAATTGCTATTTTTATGCTTTCTATTAAAATAAAATTCCCTTTCCATATAACAATGCCACTTTGAGCTTTAAAATATCTTAACTGAACCAAGTTTAGACCTAATTTTACAATAAAAAATACAGTAAAATTTCTGTCAAAATAAAACATACAAAAATTGCTTATATGATGGAGATTCCTCTATATACACTCATAAAATAATTTAGTACATTGATATGTCTTGTATCTGTATTGCTTTTAATTGTTTCAGTCATACCTCACATTCGATTGTATGGTTAAGGATAATCTCTCTAGCACCAACAATCACATACACCATATACTATATTCTATTGTGTCACATTACTTTTAACCAACGAAGCATGAAGCCACTTCTTGTTTTCAGTAGCACTAGCTGCAATTTTCTTAAATATGAAGCCTAAGTTTTTTTAAGATTCATGGTCACCGTACCGTGGTTTTCTTCTAGAAAATATATGTTCGTGCCCAAAATAAATAGTATTACCTTACAGATCAGTATAGCTAATTGCATGTGACTGCGATTATCCAAGTGGTCTTATTAATATCCCCTATTTTTCCAGGGTAATGCATTTCAAATCCCAGTGGCACAGACTACTGTTGCCACCTACAATGAAAGTCAAACTGATTGTAAGCTGCATTATGCTTTTTGCATGAGAGCCTTAAAGGCAAACAAACAAAACAAGATTCCATGTTTACACACAGCTCATTCACTCTGACTATTACTGATGTTTCTGATCTTAGTTCTAGAGTTCATATGGACTGTTTATGAAGAACTTTTTTCTCAGATGTGTGTTCCTGATGATTAGAAACCAGCATTCTTGTAACAAGATTGTTCTAGGATACCTCTGTTCCAAACAGTATATACAGAACTTATACTGTTTCAGTGGTAAATTATCATATATTAAAATAAATGAAAGATGCTGCTTTCACTATAATTTAAAATGTATGTTTACTTTTTAGTTTTTTTTTTGTAATATAAGTTAGGCTTAACCAACACTGTACTACGTGTTTGTGCACCTCTGTTACAGTAACCAGATTCTTTTGTAAAACATTTATTGGCATTATCCTGATTTCCTCTTTAGCCAGTTTCCGGCAGAGACCCATGATGAAGGTTGAACTTTTCAATGTGAAACCGTTAGACGGGGGTCTGTTTCAGGCGGTTTTCTGGCTGTTTGACATTTCTCTCCCGTCTTCACCTCTCCCCTCACTCTCTTGTCTTAATGAGCCCATCCGGTCATTGTAGGGGGGTTTTACGTGAGGGAGGTAACCCTGGGTCTCATGAGTTCTCCTCTACTGTCTTTCGAAAGCTTTGTCGCTTGAAAGAATCTCTGCGAAAGACAAGGGAATCAGAAGAGGGTGACAAGGGTTTGGAGAGAGAAATGGCTCATAGATTTTACAAACTTATTCTCTCGTTACAGTATCCAATAGAATCATTTGCCCATCTCCCAGCTGCTTATCCAGTTTAAGGTCACAGTGCTTAGATTTTCAGTCATTGCTAATTGGAATTGTTTAAAATAAAGATGGCACCTAATGGGAACCATCTTTAATTGATATAGCACTTCCTGTTGTTTTCTGCATGACCTGGAAGCAGTTGCTTGTATTTGAACATGAAGGGCATGTGGGGCAGTTTCTGTACCTGTTTTCTGTCCGTGGCTTGACGATGGATTTGTACAGGTCTGGGATCTTCCTCTCCAGCATGGGCCGCAGACTCTCCCTCAGCCTGTTGTAGTTCTTCTTCAGCTCCTGCTGGTACTCCTTCTGGTCCGGTGTGATAAGATGCTTGTTCTTCTCCACCGCCTCCCCACACCTACGGGGTCAGAGGCAGGGGTGGCTGCTAACTACGCTCTTCGAACCACAATTCCCTCAGGCTGGGCTTTTTACATAATGGATGCCCCGCCGGCGTAACTCCATGGCGATGTCATGGCCGCTGAGAAAACACAAGGGCTGGAAGCCTGTGCTCGCTCTGCCTTCCACATACAGCTGCACGCAGGGCTTCGTTATGCCTACGTTACAACTGGCTGGTGTTATGTTACTGCCCACTGCATCAGCTCCAGCGTACAAAGTAATTGCAATTCAGATTCATACAATTACATTACATAGTCAATGACTGTAATTATCTGTGACTCGATTTCAGCGAATTCACCCATCATGCACTGTCACCAGTGCTTTGAACTGAGTGTAATCTTCCTGTCTGGTTTCTGTAAACATATTCTATAGAGGATAGATGAACTTTTCCCAGGCAGGGTACTGGCTGCATAAACAGAGGGGTAAAAATGAACAGACCAAAACTAAAGTTTTCACGGCATACCTGAGCTCATGAGGACAATGACACATATTGGCAGTAATTGATATTTTAAAGTGTTTTACAGTTATGGACCAACCTAAATGTTCAAACAATATAAATGTATAAGGAGTATTTTACTCTGTAAAAATATTACTGTGAGAATAACACAGTATTTTTATGTAGTAATTTTGCTTCAGAGTATCCTTAAAAGTAAAAAAATAAAAATCTTTGTTTCCAAAGACTCTGAATACTTTAAAGTTATTTGTTTAAAATAGTAGTCATTTTGCATCATTGTTTACAGCTGTTCCTCATTATTATAAATACTCATGAATATTTATGTTTCCATTTTGAGGATTTGTCTTATGGCAGAAAGAGGAAAGAGTGGACCCATTAAAATGGACCTTTTGTTTGGAAGGAAAAATGTCCAAAGCGAACACAAAGAGACTCGCATGTATCTAAAGGCATTTTGCTTGACTGATGCATAAAATGAAAAACGAAAACCATGTGTAGATGGCAACTGTTCCCTTGCAAAAGGAAAGAAGGAAAAATACAGATTACTAGAAAACTCTCACAGACTGGGATTGGTGTTTTTTTTTGGTCACCTCTTCACTGAGCTGGAGAGAGCTGGAGCCTTATGCACTGAGCCAAAACAGGAAAAAAAAATTAAAATCAAAGTTCCTGCATGGCTTTTGGTGGTCAGACTCAGTCTTGCATGTACTGTAGGGAAAATAAACATTTCAGAAATTATACTAAATATTCTTTGTGAGACTGGCATTGATAAGGTGGAATCTGAGGGTTCGAAATTAAAGGCACCTCTTTGAAATGTAGCGACACATTCCCACGGCGGGCATGCACTTTGGCGGCAAAATCAAGATTCTTTTGGGGTTTTTTGGTTTCCTCTTCCCGAAAGTTGGTTCTGGAAACTGGAAAACGCCGACGGCGCATGTCTGACAGGCTCACGATGCTAAGCTTCATGGGAAGTGGAAAGTGAAGGGAACGCCATGCAACTGTACCGCCAAGCGGCTGCTCTGTAGTCCGCATTGGGTGGGTAACTGAAAATGATACTCCTCTTTAAAGTTACCATTACTGCGCCCAAAGACACGTAATGACACCAAACAGATCATTTGTGGGTTTCTAGAACTTTCTTGGATTACTCTACGACAGCGGCCAACCCAATTTCCCTCCACGTGTCCTGACGTTTGCTACCCGGCCAAGTTAGGATGGATTTGTGTCTGCCCAAGATTTGATTGCTGGAAAAGTGGGTTAACTAATCAAGAAATAGCTTGACTGTGAAACAGGCAGTGATATCCTGGCCCCCAAATCACTGGCTCGTTCGATCGGGGGGGTCCCACTAGTGCTACCAGTCTGGAAAACGAGAGCGGCTCTGCCTGTATATTCATGCGTGTTCAGGCCCAGCCTCACCGCAGGATGAACTCTTTGAAGCACAACCGCAGCTTGTTGTGGTGACGGAAGAGCTTGGGGTCCTCCGGGATCTCGTTCAGGAAGACCTGGGCCACCTCCAAGGGTCCCTTCAAAATAGAGAGAGGTGGCAGAGGGAGGAGTGAGGAACACTCTTTCATGGGAGAATAAATAGCTCACTGGCTGGTGAATGCATTAAGGCCCCGATGTTCAGCCAGCACATCAGGAAGAAATTAAACTTCAGGCCTAGCGTATGGCACGCATCAACATTAAAACTCGTATGCGATTTCTGTTTATTTCTGTCGGCGCTTTGTATCTCTTCTCTGCTCAAACTCCTATTTCTCGTGAACCCGCAGTAAACCCTCCCCACCCTGGAGACGAATATCGCATGGAGTGTAACAGGCGTGGCACTGTAAGGATCTGAGCACTGGCTGAATTTGAATACAGAAAAACCATTTATCAATAATGCATTATTATGTCTCAGTCAAAATAACATGTTTTATGCATGAGAACTTGTATTTAGATTTTTAAACTAACGTGATGACGCTGAATAAAGAAAATAATAGACAAATCGTGTGTGTGTGGGGGTGTATTTATTACATTGTTGGGACCAAATGTCTCCACGATGTGATAAAAATCTGTTATTTTGATGTCGTGGGGACCACCTTTTCAATCCCTACAAGGGGAAACTCAATTTAAAAGGTCTGTGAATGCAATCAAAAAACTAAAAATGCCAAAAGTCTCGTATTTTGTTTGGTTACTTATGGTTAAGGTTGGGGCTGGGTAGGGGTTAAGGTTGCCATTGTTGGGATTAGAGTTTTCCCCATAGAAACAAATGGAGAGTCCCCACAAATATACAAATACCAACGTGTGTGTGTGTGCATCTATACTGTCACACCACATGGAAACCAAGACATACTTAGAAAGAAAGTTAACCCTAACCCAAAGTATGTACTTTTGTACTTGTGTGCAGTGCAGGGAAGAGTCTATCTCCTGCTTTAATGGATGCCCTTCAAATGCACAGTGAATGTGTTTGGCCTGCAGACCTGATTGACAGTAGCGCCAACGGAGCCTTGCAGCACCATCTGAAGCATCTTGGCATCAGGCTGTTCCCGATGGGTGGCCACAGCCAGCTCACGTGTCTTCTTCTGCATGTCTTCGATGGCCACCTCAATAGGCGTCAGGTCAAACTGTGGTAGGGGGATGGAGAGAGAGAGAGAGAGAGAGAGAGCTGCTTCAATCACCACCCTCACCTGCAGCACAGACTAAACCCTGTGCCTGTCAGAAAACTGCAAGCATGTGTGTCATTCCTGGATTGCTACCCTCAGCGTCAACAACAGATGGTGCAGGGCTTAAGGAAATGGACTTTTGGACCTAAAGGTTGCCGGATCAGTCCTATCGCCATGAGTGGAACTGCTTCTGTAGCCTTGAAAAAAAATTGCAATTAATTTGAACTATATCTGTAGATAAGCAGCTGTACAAATAGACTAATGAGCGCAGCAGTAAGTGATTAGCATCCGCTACAGAAATGAGTCACATACTAAGGGCAGTTTTTCTTATGAGGACAGTTGTCATGTGGAGACCATAAAATGCAATTCCCTTTGTCAGTAAGTGCATTCTGGTTCATGGATTTATTGCCCGCCCCTGACATTAATTAATTGGCTGCTCTCAGGGTTTTGGAGGTGGATGGTGGTCCATTGGGCGCTTGGGGTACCTCCTCCTTCTGGATGACGTTGAGGCGGGTCTTGATGTAGGGAAAGGCGTGCATGGTAGTGAGGATGGTCTTCCTCTTGTACTGCTCGTTGAGCTCGCCCCGCGGCCGGCCGCTCTTGGTGAATGGCGTGGTGTACATGAATCGCCGCAGGTTGAAATTCTTCTCGAAGTTCGTCAGCCGGTCCTTCAGCTCATAGTCGTCGAAGTAGGGCTCCACAAAGGTGATCTGGATGTAGGCCTAGGTGGGCGTGCGAGAGCGAGAAAGAGAGAGAGGAGGGAGGAACTGACATGTGAATCTAAATGGAAGTTAAACCAGGTCACGGCACGACATCTTGAGTTATCACAAGGAGCTTGAACGTGAGGGGTGGTGGAAAGCTTCCCTTTTACAGTAGAGGAATGCGAACAGCCCATGCATCTGCACAACTGTTTCCCACAGCCTAATATACAGTATTTGGACCGGTTCCCTCACCTTGTTTGGATTTAGCTTGTTCTTGTCCACTGGTATAGAGTCCTTAATTATCTCCAGAGCATCTCCTCCGAAGCACTGACTGTAGAAAGACTGCACAGGAGGAACGCCATGCAGAAATGTTACTGCGTGCTACTTCGTCCTCTTTAGATGTAAACAACAGGCGCTGTCGACCTGTTCAGATACTCACACCCACTGACCTGTGCACCTACAAAGATGCAGACTAACTAAAAAGCACAAACACACCACAGTCATCAGTGAATACATGCTGCAACACATCCGCTTCACGTTTTATAGTGGAAAACATTCCTTTGATTTTAGTTACATGCTCTGATCAAACACTCAGCATGTTTCCTGCCAGTGCCATGAGTAACTAGGCCATCTCTGTCCCGCTGCTGTGCATTGTTTACTTTTGTTTGTTTACCTCCAGCCTGTGGGAGATTTCTGGAAGATGAGTGATCCCAGGTTCCTTGTAAATAAACTCCCGTTCATCCAGGTCCCCGAACTTGGCCCCGTAAAAGCCGACGCGGAAGTATGTTCCGAACATCCTTTTGTGGCCCTGGAGATGGGACACGTGGTGTTATCGTTAAGTGCAGACGAACGCTCCACAACATTCCCACGCAGCTAGCGGCTTCGCTCTTCCTGTAGGCGTCGCGGCATGACGGGAAGAGCGAAGTGCATTGCCAATTATGCAATTAACTCAATGACATGCTAACGTCTTTGATTATGAGAGGGCTGGAAATTATAGGACGGTGCAAAATGCCTTCTCCGGTGTAATTGTGGTGTTTTGAGAATGCCTACCACGTTGATTTAAATGTAATGAACCTGGCTGGGGGGGTTATATCCGACCAGCCGGTTACCCCCGCCAGGTTTACCTTCTGATTGATGTTCTCGAAGGCCTTCTGCAGCTTCTCGTGCGTCGAGGCCAGCTTGCGGAAATCCCTGTGGGCCTCCAGGATGGGCAGAATGATTTTGTAGACCTCATTGACGATCTCGTACAGACCGCCCTGCGGAGTCGAGTCAATGGGACGGATGCGTGACTAACCGGGGGGCAGGGGGGGAACTCACTCTCACTTTCTCACATGGATGAGCTGAATCGCTGCCTCTATGGGCCACATGTTTAGACCGCATACACACACACACACACACACTGTGCCAGGGAAGGGGAGGGGTACAGTGCCCAGGGCGTCTCACTGGGCGAGACCCTCTGGCCCTCGGCCAGCATCACTCACGTTGCTGAAGAGTTCGGCTGCCAGCTCCAGCAGCCCCACCAGGCCGTTCTCTGTGAAATACCTCGCCGAGCACACGCCGTCCTCGTCGGGGGAGAGGATGTCATCCGACACCGCCGACTCCTCCAGCACGTTGGAGGAGACGTTCTGCCAGAAGCAAGATTCCCCATTAGAAAAAAAAAAAAATCCACCCTAAACTTTTCCTACATCATTTACCACTTTATATGGCAGGTCTGGGACCCATAACTGAAACTATTTATCGTTTTCCTAGAGGACAGATTCCCTAAGACAACGTGACGCCCAAACAGTTGCCCGTTTTACGTGGCAGGCTTTCTGAAGCGCTCGGGCCTAAGCTCGCAGCTCAAGTGTACAAAAGCTCACAAGAATGTGACCCTGATGCCTCCCAGTCACATGTCTGCACCTGCTGCTCCAGTAATGGCCGGTTTGTATGAGGAGTTTTTAAAAGGTACATTCCTTTCGAGTGCGGTCACACTCAGGCGTAATCATTGACCGAACAGCTACGTCCAGCCTGGCCGGGAACAGCTGAGGAGGCTGTAACGCTGTCAGTCTCCATCTCCCTGGATGCCGTTCCCCATTAAGGAGCAGCAGGCGAGCCGCCACCAGTCAGTCGGCTGAAGGCTGGAGTTCCGCCATGCAGGTACCTGGAAAGTGACACTGCCCACCGGCAGGTACTTGTGGTCCTCCAGCATGCTGAGGTACTCAGCCACCAGGGCGGCGGCGTGCACCAGGCACATAGCCGCCTCCGTGAAGCACTTCCGGGTCTTGTGCTTTTCCGCCATGTTCTGTAGCCACGTCAGCCGCAGGTCAGGTGACGTCTGGTAGCCCTTAGCGATCCTGGGGTGTCGACCAATCGTCAGTAAGTTGTGCTACATCTCATTTGCATTTTTACAGCAGAATGGTTTTGAGAACTTTAAGACAAAATGCAGAACTTGATTTAGAAATGATAAATTCCATCCATTTATCAAGTGTTCTCAAATCACAAACAAACATGGGCTAATTCTACACACGAGTAAGGTGCTAGTAACTATAATGCAGCTTATTCAAAATTAAAATTAATGTTCCAAAACATTACACACACATTTTCCATTAACTAATCATATACTAATAGCCCTTTATTATGGTGAGGCAGTTTATCACGTCGACAGATATCCCTGATCCTGTTACACTCCCTTGCAGGTCCAAACAAAGCAGCAGTTAACATTTCAACCTGCCAGTTTTAGGCACGCGCTCTGAAAATACACTGAGGAGCACACAGACAGACAGACACGGTGCCCAGGGCAGTGCTGCCCAGCTGTGCTGTACTTCCCAGAACACAGCAGGGACGGTACTTTAGGCCAGTTGGCGTAATGCTTCCAAAGAAAGAGGAGGAAAAAAATACACAGAGACCACAGCGAAATTGGAAACAGAAGGAGCTACAGAGGTGGTGTGGCACACAGGGGTTATGTCATGGGTTGTCGGGGAGGGGGCAGTCTTCTGAACTCTGATGTGGCGGCAGTCATTTGTTAGGATCACTGTAAATATCGCCTACCCACTTTTTAAATAGAGGAGTGTATGGCACAGTCGTCCTTTTCATAACCCACTGTGCTACTGTTTGTTATTTTTAATTGCTTAGACTCGATGGTGTGTATAGACCGAGGTCCTGCGTATGAGAAGTTTATGCGTGTTTCAGTGACTGTAGTACCTGTACATAAGATCCATCAGCATCTCAGGATCTTCCTGGAACTCCCTCATCTTCACCGTGTCGGACAGGATGCTGTTGAGGTTCCTGAGCAGTTCGTCAACCTGAGTACGCGAGATAACCACACCCTTCAGCCAAGCCCAGCCAGAGGGAGCTTCAGAACCCAACAAGTACACCTGAGCAAACTTCTGTGCATTCGCCAAGCCCTGGCCAGTAATACCTGCCCCCGTTAGGTATGCCCCCGCCCCCCCATCCAGCCTGTTCAGAGGGAGACGCCCTTAGTTTAATAATGACTGAGAGTAGAGTACCAGTGATAGTCCAAGAGAACTTTAAAGGAGCAGCATCATGACGTCTTTGCACTTTCTGTAAATATGTCATTTCTACAATGTTCTTTAGTTGTTCATATATTGTACTGCAGTGTTGGGCATTTCAGGTTCAGAAGCTACAAATCCAGACCAATATGGTTTCTACTAACCATCTGAGCATAAAGAGTCACAGTCACAGAGTATTAACTGGTTGGTAGAAATCTTGGTCTGGATTTGTAGCTTCTGGACCTGAAATGCTCAACACTGTTGTACTGTGAGGTGTTTCTTCTAAGCATCCTGGAGTATTATTTTGCACTTCATGTACATACTGGTGATAAAGTGTTCCGAGTTTGTCTGAATAGTGATGTTTATGTCTGTGCAATACTATAAGGGGCAGCGACAACACAAGGTGAATCTGTAAGGGCTTCCATCTGAAAGGTCTGAGACTCCAGGACTTTTAGGGAGCAGTTTCTTGAAATGTGATTAATGTCACGGCGTAACGTCTTGAAGCAGCAGTGAGAGCCAGGGGAAGCAGAACTGGGGCGGTGGCATCCCAGCGGCATTGCGGCGACACGGTACCTGCGAGGGGAACTGCGTGGCCTGCATCTCCGTGTCCTCCTCCGCATAGGACAGGATGGTCCGCAGGGAACGCCGCAGGTACTCCTCGTGGAAGTCCGAGGACTTTCCCACCAGGGAGGCCAGGGACATGGTCACCTGCATCTTCACCCGTGAGAAATTCTGCACGTTTTGGGGGAGGGGGGTGGGACAAAAAGACACAGCCAGCTGAGCCAGGGGAAGGTAAGGGCTCAGAGCCACACCATGGAAACGGGGCCCTCTGCTCCAAGGCGAGACTCACATTACTTATTGATGCTATAAATTCCACACAAATGGTATTTGCCTTCAGCTGAGGCCCTTTCCGACCCGCTCGAGTGTCTGAGTTATTTTTACGGCCTGTCACTGGCATGTCTGTGAATCGGTAAGACCAGCTCTCACACCGAGAACCTTGTGGTGATGCCTAGTACAAGATCCGGCGTATTCATTTAAACAAATTATTTGCCAGCTAATACGTAGATGACACCTCTGTCATCTTTATTTTTCCATAGCTGTTGCTGGTGTCTGATCTCATCGATTCTGTGATGTTGTGATCCATCTTGTTTGGCACAATAAAATGGCAACGCAATCCCTCCGATGGATGCAGTTAATGTCCCTATTATGTTGCATCAGCGATACGGCGGCGTTTCTGGCGGTCGTTGGCCATCCTTAGGCCTGCGGGTCAAGCTAAAACAGCAGCTTTACAAGCGCCCAGCGCCGCGGTCAATCCTGCTCCCCCCGCCCCCCCCCCGAAATCAAATCAAAACACGGCCGGAAACCAGTGAGTCATCCGGGCAAATTAAAGGCGGTCCGGTCTGTGGCTGCGTCAAAGCCGAACACACCCGCTGCCAGCGCACAACAAACGGCGAGAGAGGAGAGGACAGGACCCCAGCATGGAGGGAGGATACATTACCCACCAGCCGGAGATTGACGTACACGTGCAGGGAACTATTTTGCCACCGACGCGTGGCCTTGATTAAAGGAAACGTAGGATAAACACAGGAAGGACAGCCAGCTCTCGGTGGAGCTGCCTGGCTCTGATTGTCGGGGCGGTGAGGAGCCCCCCCAGTACCCCAGCCGAGGCAGGGATCCTTACGCTGGCCGAGCTGTAGCTGTATCGCATGATGAGGTACAGGGTGGCGCAGGCCTGACTGCGGTTGCTGTCCACGCAGCTGCTGCAGTACTGCAGCATCTTCTGGCACAGGTCAGCGCATTGCTCCGCCTCCTCCTCGAACAGCAGGTCGCCGTACTGCAACAGTGGCACAGAGAGCTGTTATTTCCACCAGGGGGCACAAGGAGTCGGCGAGGGGACGCCGGGAAGCTCGGTGTGTGTACCTTCACCACGAGGGAGCGTAGCGTGCCGAAGCAGTGCGACAGGAAGGTGGTGCTCTGGTTGCAGGTGAGGCAGTGGAGCAGCACTCGGAGCACCCCGCCTAGCACACCGTCCTTGGAGTCCACCACGGGCACGCCCTGCACGGCAGCGGGGCACGCCGGGGCATGGGAGAGAAAGAAGATATGGGTTGGGGTTACGCAATCAATCCATCCATCTGCCAGTCACTTATCCTGGACTGGGTTACATAAAAAGGCACAACGCTGGGGTGGCTGAATGGGATGCCAGTCCATGGCAGGGCATGTCCAGGTGCCCCCTAAAACACACAGGCATACAGCATAGACCAGTGTTTCTTAAGCCGGTCTTCCGGGAGCCCCAGACAGGCCACATTCTTCTCCATCCTGGCTCCCAGTATACCAGAACCAAGCAATCAAGAGCACAGAATACAAGTATGATCCATCACCTCAGATGATTTAGAGATAGTGGTCACTAAGAGGAGAACGTGCAAACATGCATACACAGTGTAGATGTCTCCTTTAGACATGGGAGACTCGTCATTAAAGTCCATGTCTGGCCTATTCTGGCCTGACCTGCACTCACGCATAGTATGATGTAGTGTGTGGAATTATTTCTAAAGGTGCATCTACAGGAGCGATTCGAACCCCCAACCGTGGAGGTATGAAGCAGGTCCACCAGCAGGACTGTGCAATGCAAGCCCGTTTTCCTGGAGGGGGCAAAGCCTCATGCTACACTCAGTGCCGGCAGAGAGCTCCCACCTGGATGATGGTCTCCAGCATGTCCAGGATGATGAGGTTGGCCTCGGTGGCCAGATTGCCGCTGATGAGGGCCTCCTGGTCCAACTCTGCCTTCGTTCTGAGAAAATGCAGGAGGGATGGGGGAGGGGGGTCATCGTCCCCATCATACTTCTCCCCACACCCTGGAGGTATATCTACAGGTTGGGATCAGAGCCCATATTTCTGCACTGACTTGTCCTGCCTGTCGTTGGTCTGACGCCACTGTGTCAGGTCTTTTCTCCAGCGGAGGTTCTCCCTCTGGCCTATGGTGCGGTCAGTACCTGCGAGGTCAAAGGGGTTTGGAGGTGGATCACAGCTGAACACTGTATCAACGTGGAACCAAGACGGCCACCACACTAAGGTATAATACTATGCGTGAGTGCAGGTCAAGCCAGAATAGGCCAGACATGGACATTAGTGACGAGTGTCCCATGTCAGTCCTTTCTAAAGGAGGCGATGAGAAGGACCTGCTCACCTCCCACGCGCTTCATCATCTCTCCCCGGGCGCCCATGCCACCCAACAGCGCCTCCTCCAGGCGGGCCTTGGCTTGCTGCGACTTCTGGAGAGCCTGGGTGCTGACTTTGTCGGAGCTCTGCTTGCCCTGCAGGATGCAGCATGTGATTGGTTCACACTCCACTCCACTGAAGCCTTTGTCCATTAAAGTTTGTGTACTGATTAACTGGTCTGGTTATCAGGCGCTACCAGTAAGGAATTTAATCCCCTCCTCCCCGGGAATTTCATGGCAGCCTTCACAAAGTGAATGCTGATACACATCTTACAATTAAACAATCAAATTAAATTTAAAGTTCACACAGCTGCAGAGATGTTTTTATATGCAAATTATATCCAAACTGAAAAACTTGCAGGATAAAATGTGATTTATCAAAACAGTGTATTTCAAACAGCAACGTGACAAACACTTTGGTCGAACTGCCATCCCCAGTTCCACTGTTTCTTAAGAAAGCATTTGCTTGCTTTTATTGCTTATCTGGCCTTCACGTGAAGCTCGTTTCATTCATCTCTCCACTTTTAGGGAGAGCTCCAGAGAGGAACTGTGACCTACGCGGTACTCGAAGCAGGAGATGCAGATGGTGAGCAGCTCCAGCAGCCGACCAAGCTGGGAAGACGGCATGTCCACGGTCCACTTCTGGATCAGGCTCTGCTCGGCGTTCTTCATGACCCAGAGGAAGCAGACGAGCAGGTTGCGACTGGTCTCTGCCGTCAGGGTGCCGCTGGCCTTCGAAGACTTAGACAAAGAGGCACAAAGAGTCGTTTGCTGTGTTTGATGCTATTCGAGCAAGTCTGATAAGTGCGAATTTAAAAATCTAGCATGCCACAAGTACCACTGACATTATTTATTCAAAAAATATGTAGCAGAAATGATAGTGTGGTGTAGTAACTATGGAATTTGAAGCTGCAAACAGGTACTAACAGGTAGCTAGAACAAATACTACTGTTTGGCAAACTGACTGAAAGATCACAATAGCTATATCCTGAAAGACACGTGAGATAAAGCAACCAGAGTTCTGATGAGGTTTTTCTCAACAGGAAGAGCAAACTATGGATCTCTCACCCCAGACATAATAGAACTTAAAGAGTTTCTCCCCAGGGTGCTGAAGGGGTTGCCTGCAATCGCCATGGCAACTGACTGATTGATTGGGGTGACGCTGTCGGCCTCGTCCTCTGGGCCCCCTGACTTCCCTTTACCGCCGCGGGAGTCCGCCACTGCGGGAACAAGAGGGCCATGTGGCCACAAGTGTGAGCGGATATGCACCAGACGCCAGAGAGACCGAGCCAATGAGGTGGAGGGAAGGGGGCAGGGGATCAATATTTCTATAACTCCAAGGCCAAATTTTCACAGTGGTCCAGTTCATGCACCTGCCAACTTCAATGCAGTGCAACGGGGACAAGGGAGCCAAAGATTGTTTCAAATTGACCGTCTTCAGCTGGTACAATAGTGACAAATTCTACATGTGACAAGCAAGGTAGAGATGGACTTCTCAGTGGTGTTTCAGTAAATCCTCCTCAAATTCAGATTTTCAGTATTTTTACAACCATTGAGGTCAAATCTGTTTTTTTTTCCACATCTAAACTCAACCTCAATTCAACAGGTAGTCATGTTGGAATATTTCTAAAAAAATATTGAAGGACTTAACATTTGGCATTGAAGAGAAACGTATCTTAGGATAAAAACAGAGGCCAGTGGCCTAAAACTGACCTGTGAAGTCGAGGTGACTAAGGGAATCGATGATAATGCCCACAAGGGGCAGATAGAGAGCCGCGATCTTTGACCGGACCTCAGGGCGGCTGCATCGCAAGTCCAGGTCGTGAGCGCATAGCAGGCTATAGATGGCATTGATGGCCTTCCTCTGCACCTTACCCCTGCAAACACGGAGAGGCTCAGGTCAGCGAGCGTCATCAAGCAACCAGGAAACTCGTTTGCGGGGGGCGGGGGCGGGGGGAACGATGCTACAACGCTACGATGGAGGGTGCTACATATCACTGTGACACAACAGCTACCCGCGTGCAGGTTATAGACCGAGACGGGCATATAGAGAATGGTAAACTGAAAAACAATGTAGACAGACTGATTAAGATGCTCTGATTAAGACAGACATTTCACCATACAACACAAATTAAGGCAGGCAGACAAATTGAGGTAGGCTAACAGATGAATCTTGTTAGCACGACAGGAAGACTGAGACAAATGCTTTGATCGATATTTACGCCTTGATGAATATCCTTGTTATAAAAAGAGAGACAGAAGGGAAAAAACAGAGAAAAGAAACAGTGTGTCATTATGCTTTCTCATCACGTACAAAAACAATTATAAATTTATATTAATCAATAACCCACGATGGATAATTATCAGTTAATGTTTGCGTTTTTATTGTTTATATCTGATACATCATATTTTGTTTGCAACATTAAAATAAGCTAAAATAAATACCCAGCAGGGAGGAGACTGGAACAGAGAAGTGAATCGACAGATAGACACTTACAAACTGAAGCCCGCAAAAATATTCACTAAATCAAGCCATATGAAACCCACCAATGATCATACAGACAAAAATACATAGAACTTAAACATAAATACGGCATTGGGTTGGAAGACAGATGGATAGAGGAAGACAGGTTTAATACACTAGAGGATAGAGATTCAGATCAGATGCAGACAGGTGCATTGATACTGGAAGATTCAGACAGAATGAAATAGAGACTTAGATACACTGCGACAGCAGATTCAGACACACAGATACAGGCAGTGAAGACTGAAAGAGACAGATTCAGACAGGCAGGCTGAGACAGGCAGTGAAGACTTAAAGAGACAGACAGATTCAGACAGACAGGCTGAGACTGACAGTGAAGACTTAAAGAGACAGACAGGTTGAGACAGGCAGATTCAGACAGACAGGCTGAGACTGGGAGTGAAGACTTAAAGAGACAGGCAGATTCAGACAGACAGACTGAGACTGGCAGTGAAGACTTAAAGAGACAGACAGGTTGAGACAGGCAGATTCAGACAGACAGGCTGAGACTGGCAGTGATAACTGAAAGAGACAGACAGATTCAGACAGACAGACTGAGATGTACCCCTCAGACTCCATGTCCAGGGCAGCGTTGAGCTCCGTCAGCAGCAGGCCGGTGAGGTAGTGCTGCTGCTTAAAGTCTTGTGAGAGGTCAAACATACTCGCCACCTTGTTCTCCTGGAAGCTGCAGCCCGAACCAGAGTTCTGTCAACATCGAGAGAGGAACTAAGTAAGGTTACCTGAAGTTTAAGCATTGTGATTACTTCCACATCTCATAATCTCTCAAATTTATGAGGCAGCTAATAATTCCTTCACAATTAAGACTTGTCATTCACTCACTCACTCACTCACTCATTCATTCATTCATCTTCTCTGTGGTCTTGAGCCTATCCCAGAAACAATGGACGTAAGGCGTGGAATTACTCAGGCAAAGGTGGAAATTTCAGGTCCAGAAAATAAAGATCCAGATCAAGATTTTGCTTCAACCAACCCGTTGAGCACAAAGAGTCACAGTCACACTGATTGGATGAAACAAAATCTTGGTCTGGATTTTAATTTTCTGGACCTGTGATCTCAGGGCAAGACTTTTGTCGATAGAATGGAACAAAGTGTTAGCAGTATATTGCAGAGCAGGACCGCCTACCTGCGAAGAGATGGATGGGCAGGGGGAGGCGGGGGCAGAGGTTGGGTGCAGGAAGAAAAGGCTGAGATTCAGGTAGTGTTCATGGCTGCACAGGACGCGCAGGAACTCCAGCCGCATGGTGATCATGGTGGGCAGGGACGTGCTCTTCGCCGACATCTGGGGGGGGGGGAAGCACGCTGTGATGTGGGCAGACATACAGGCGTCTCGTGGGCAGACACACCGTGGTGTTCGGTATGGGCACCTTGGACTGCAGTTAAACAGCGGCCCACATGGGCCGGGTGGCCTGTTCATCACCGTCTTTTGATAGCACCGGTTCAGACTGGGCTTACCTGGTTGCAATAATTCTTCACAAGCTGGAACACAAAGCCCCGGTCCATGAGCGACAGGAGGTCATACAGGAAAAAGGCCAGGCTGATGTTGACTTTTTCTGCTTGTTCCAGCTCCTTAACAGGGCAGTTAACAAAAGTAAATGCTCGTTCAGCCAAATAATTTGAACCTGTTTCCATGAAAAACTTTCTAACCAATAACAATTTTAGAGCAACCAGTGACAATCCCCATTGTTATATAGCATGGTTTCCCTGGTGCCTCCGTACCTTCTGCTGTTTCACCAGAATGGTTCCGATCTCCGCGGTCACCACGCTCACAATGGTGGTGATGTCATCTTTGAACCGATCAGAAAAGCGGCTCCTTCTGGGGATGCTTTGCTTCTCCAGCTGGGAGACGTGCTGAGCCATGCTCTTCACCTGAAAATAAACCAGTCGACATACGGATCCCAGAACACACGTGAGTACTGGGAATGCCCTGGCAAGAGCACACGGAGGATTATGGACGCGTAAATGGATCTGTTCTGCATCGAGCGACTCACCAGGAGCTCGAAGAAGAACCAGGCATACTTGTAGGCATTCTCCCGGCAAACTCCGGTGCTAACCACCATCTGCAGGGCCACCTCCTCGTGGAACTGCTGCAAGTGTGTCATACAACAAAGTAGGGCCCGTCAAACAGCTGGAGATTCCCCATGTCGTGGATTCACCGAGCATGGCCAAATGCTGTAATAATCACCGTGCTGGCCGCCACACCATAACAAACACCCCAATGATTAGTGCTGTTACATAGCCTGTGCTGGTTCTGTGATGCCACGTGGCCTTTGTGCTTAAAGTGACAACCAAGTGTTTCAAGGTTGGGAAACTCAGATTACCATTTCATATTAGTAATGACACGCTCTGTTGTATGTCAATATGGAAGAATGGATGGATGGATGGCTGAGGTTACTTAGCCATAGCATTTGATTTCTTAAAAAGTCTACAATTGCAACAAGTTTAATCAACATCTAATGAAGCCTAAGGAAAAAGTATGATTGGTTAGCTCCCCCTCCTGGTCAGAGGGAGTATTACCTTTTTATTTCCCGGCCTCATGGCCCCTGCGGCCTGGAAGTAGTTGTTTACGTCCACGAATGTGGACATGCGATTGCCCACATGATTTAAACCCTACAGGAAAATCAATAAATAATCATAGTTTCCCAGTGTGCTGTGGTAATCACTGCTCAGTCCTCAGACTTCCCAGGCAAGCAGTACATTGGCACCAAATACTGGCCAGTACAAAAGTAACATCATGTAAGTACTGCCCAGTAACTTGTACTTTCAGGTAAGCTGTACTTGATATGTAAGTAAAATGAGGTAAGTATTGTTCAGTACCTATGCAGAACAGTTCCCATTTCCCAGTAGACACCATTCAGTAACACAGTACTGCTGCCCCGTAGCCCCACACTACCAGCCTTGTAGCCTCACAGCACCCCCTGGCCCTACACCACCTTCCGTGTAGCTCCACACTTCCCTGTTGCCCCACATGGCCTGCACATTAGCCCCACACTGTCTGTCCCATAGCCCCACACCACCTGTCCTGTAGCTCCAGACCTCCCTGTAGCCCCACACCACCTGCCACATAGGCCCACACTGCCCACCCTATAGCTCCACACCCCTTTGTAGCCTCACACCACCTGCCATGTAGCCCCACACTGCCTGCCCTGTAGCCCCACACCTCCTGCAACATAGCCCCACACTGTCCGCCGCATAGCCCCACACTGCCTGCCCCGTAGCCCCACACCTCCTGCCATGTAGCCCCACACCGCCTGCCCTGTAGCCCCACACTGTCCGCCGCATAGCCCCACACTGCCTGCCCCGTAGCCCCACAGACTCCAGCACCGAACCTTGGAACCCATGATGCCCTTGACCTCAGCGTCGGCAGTGGCCTGGATATCGTGGATGTCCGGGTTGCTGCTGCTCAGGACACGCGACTGCAACAGCTTGGAGCCCACGGAGGTGGCCGAGGAACGGCCCATGGTGTTATAACGGCCCTCGGGGTGCAGCTGGTGCCCGCCGGTGCCTGGGGACCAGTTTACCATAACTCACATCACAGAGCAGCTGAGGACCAACGCAGGAGAAGCCAGGGAAAAACAGACATACACATTCACACAGAAATAGATATACAAACACAGCGACACATAGTACCTTACTATAAATACATTCCTGTAAATATTTTTTTCCTTCTATATTACTCTATAATTATCAGAATGAGAATACTTTCATTATCCATGAGGAAACCGTCGTTACAGTTTATCAATATTTATAGACATTTGTTCCTTTTTCAGATAGTCTGTTTCCTCTCCTTTAGATACACAACAGTCATTGGAGAAACATACACTGTACACATTACAGAACTCAACAAAAGTGACATGTGAAAAAGTATATATCCTGAACTACAAAGGTGAGATAGAGAGCCCTGAATCTGTGCTTTATGAAGCAGGAAGCTGAGATGACTCATAAACCATTATAAAATTACAATGTAACAAAACAACACACCAGCTGAAAAGGAGTCTTTATGATATGTCATATGGCATCTAACAAGAGTCGTATTCTCTATATAAAGTAGTGATTATATTTAAAAGCACTTTATTATAGATCAGGGTAAGCTTTTAAAATACACCTTTAGAACAGATAATTTAGAACCGCGTCACGGTCAATGAGAAGTGTTTCCACTTCTTCACAGTGTGGACAGTGCCAGCTTGCATAATATACTAATAATTTTTTCAATTTTGTATTAGAAAATGCCAGTGATATTTGTAAACTGGCCCATACCTGTATACATGAGTTAATCTAGCCATGAACATCATTGACCTTCTAAAAGAAAGAAGACTGCTAGATAGAAACAATATCTGATTATCTACAACTTCAATGAAAACATTACAATTGAAATGCTTGTGTAAATTAAGATCAAGATGATCCAATGGCCAAAATCTTGTAGATAGAGTGGCATGAATGTAGAGCACAGATAAGCCTATATATAGTGCAAAACAAAGTGTAAAGACAGTATACATAGTGCAAACAAATTAGGATCTGCTGATGGAACATTTTGTGATTTAAAATAGATGTCTGACTTGTATGCGGTTGCTAATTTCTACGGTGACACAAGAGTGTGGACCTTACCGGTGGTCACGATTTCACGATGAGTGTATGGCAGTCGGAAGACGAAATACAGGTAGGTTGCTAGGAGACAGTTCCTTCCTTGCTGGTCCTTGGCCAGCTCTTGGCTGTTGTGGAGGCTGTTGACGATGGATACCACAGATTCAAAGGCAATCTGGGCCAGGTTAGCTGCAAGACATGCAAACACACACCCCAATCAAACGCTGTTTACACAGAGCATGTCATTCACAGAGGTGAAGACAACCCTGGCAAGTCTAGCATAACATGCATCAGGGATCACGCACAAAATTTAAGCCAGAACAATTTTGTTTGGCAAAGTTGGCAACAAGTTTCATTGGATCAGATCTTTGCAAAATGAGGATACCCAAATTAGATACAATACTGAGCAAAAGGCTGAACCACTTGCACACCACGTTTAGCTAATCAAGACCTCATCAAGTTATTGAACTAATAAAGTTAATTCATTCAATGAACTGGCGGTGAAATTGAATGAATACGTGGAATGGCAAATACTGAGGAGAGGTTTAGGAACTGAAGCAGTGTTCGTCTAGCTATCCATCAAGGTGACAGTAACTCTTTGGAGAACAGAAGAAATTCTTGTTACTTTTTATGGTGTTACTGTTCATTTGCATATATTATAATGTTAAATTATGTTTTTTTTTCTGAGCAAATATACAATACTCATAAATAGCTTTAAACATGACATTCTAAGAGCATTACATTGTATCTTACCTGAGATTATCTGAGATTATCACTATCTTACATAACAAAGTAAAAGCAGATTTTTATGACTGTCTCGAATGCCAGAGGTGGAAGTACCATGTTACCGTTGACAGGTAACTAGCCAATGACCAGCTTCTTCCTGAAAGTACCTCTTCTGATTGGGCAGTGAGAATCACTTCAGCCCTCCCATGCCCCTGTGCCAGACCCTGCCCCTTCATTCCTGCACAGCCTCAGTCACCTGTCTGCCCTGCGATGACCATCGGCTGGAGAATGAGTCTGAAGAGCTTGTCCAAGACTTGATGGAGGAAGAGCACGAGCGGCTCCAGGCCGGACGAAGACAGAGAGATGATGCTCAGCTTCAGCTCGTGCTCCAGCTTGTTCTCTGGGATCTTCTCATCCCGCACGCGGATGGGGAATGACGCTCTGCCCTCCAGAGCATGGCAAAGAGTGAAAAAGCGCTCCAAGTGGTTATCCTAGACACAAAAGACAGGGGAATTGGCAAGGGTGAGGATTTCAAACTGTCATTCAGTAATGACCTCTCTCTCCCCCCCCTCATTAGATAGGAACCTAAGCTACAGAATCCCAGCTACAGACCAATTACCTTTGGTAATAATGCCAATCCGTTAAATCGCTACAAGAATGCTATGGGGTCCAATTAGCCTCAGACTTGGCTTCACCTGCACGCGTCATGTCAAACACATTCTCGTTGTTCAAAATCAAGGAATTATTGCCTCACTGATAAACAACAAAAAGAAGGTTCCTAAGTACAGCACGCACCTGCGTGTGTATAGAAGATACAGCTTGGACCTCCAGGTTAAAGACGCCCTTGTGATTTTCCATCCACCTCACCGGGGGAACCTGATTAGGTATTTTCTAAGAAAAACAAAATCAGACATCAAAGGGAAAATGAGTCATTGACTGATAGCAGGAAAAAGGAGTCTGATAATGGCTCAGCTTGCCCACCTCGGGGGAGTGTAATGAGTAATTAACAGGAAGTCGATCCAGGGCCACAGGAAGGCAGTACTGTCCCGTCTGGAGGCGGTCGTTGTTTATTATTGGAAGCCACTGCAGGGGAGACAGTCACCATGGTCACAAATATGTAGCATTATGAATGTGTGTGTGTGTGTGGTTTGTATTTACTACATTCTGGGGACCAAATGTCCCTACAATGCGGCAAAAATTGTTACTTTATAGCTTGTGGGGCCATTTTCAGGTCCCTACAATATAAACCTCAATTTCATAAAAATCTGTGGATGCAATCAAAAAAGCGTCTCTGTGTTTTGTTTGGTTACTGATGGGCTGGGTGGGGGTTGAGGTTGTCATTGTTAGGATTAGGATTTTTCCCATATAAATGACTGGATGGTCCTGACAGAGATATGAATACAAATATGTGGGTGTGTGCATGCGTGCGTGTGTGTCAATTGGCTCATGCAGCACGACGGTCACACACCGAGTAGCCAATGAGAGTCTCGTTGGCCCCTCCCTGATTCTGCTTCTGCTGGCAGCTGATGTGGTAGAAGGTAAACAGCAGGTGGTAACGCTCTGTCACTCTGGCCGGAAGCTGGATCTTCACCTCCTCGTAAAAATCCGGCGACCTGAACAGGGCAGTGTGTAACAAGGCTTAACTGAGAGCTTTCCCAGTGTCCCCTCATTTCCGAAACTGTCCTGACAGAGATACGGCACTAGTGACAGTATCGTTACCTATGGTTGAATCTGTGTGCGTGTACGTTTTTTATTTTTATTTTTTTTGCTTTATTGCTACCACCCATTTGGTCACCACAGAAGCTGTAGGTCACTCAAGAACCCTTCATCATTTTACTAATAATGACATAGTAATGAAATTAGGTTGGAATGAAATTGCTTTATGGAAAACATACTTCTGTGTTGTGTAAAGTTTAACATATATACACACAGTACTGTGCAAAAGTCTTAGGCTGGCAAAGGAAATGATGTCGAATGTAAAGTTATGATATTATGATGGTAAAACTGTCACCATATCCAGTCCGAAACCTCTCTTATAGTCACCTCCGTATCTGCAGCAACTGTCCAATACGCCCAAGTATTTTTTGACTCGACCACTATCCCACCCAGAATGGCTAACCAGTACCTCACTGGCTTTTTAAAGTATTTAATTAATTAAATGAGCTTTTGATAAAATTTAACAATTACATGGAATGGCTGAGGTGCCCCTGAGGAGAGGTTTGGGAAGTGTTAGTTTCTATTGTGCTAAACATAACTGGCATGCATTCTAATATTAAACTGTTTTAAATATGTACTTATTACCCCAATAAATAGCTTTAAAGATTTCTTAAACTGAAGACTTTTGCACAGTACTGTATATATGTATATACACACACACACACACACACTGTGGCCACTTCACCAGGTTCAGCCACCTAATACTGGGTAGGATACTCTTTATTTTATTATTTTTGCACTTGTTGACTTCCTATTAACTTTAACAAATCTGGCCCTTTTTCTCCAGCCTCTCTAATTAACAAGGTATTTTTGCCCACAAAATTGCTACTGATTAGATGTTTCTGGTTTATCACACAATTCTTTGTAAACTCAAGCAGCCACTGTGCATCAAAAGCCCATGACGATGGCTGTTCCTGACATTGTGGAACCACCACATCTGGCATTCATCACTTGTCATCAGTCAAACTGCCATGGCAAATTCAAAGTCATTTATATCAAATGCCTTGCCCATTCAAATAATTAGTAGAACAGTAATTGAACCTATTGCTGTATATATAGAGTTTCAGCCACATGATTTGCTATTTGGAGGGAAAGACTTTTAACAAGTACGTAAAGCTAGGAAAGTGTATCTATTTATGTAGAATAGCAGATTCTTGGGGTACTTGCTTGTTATGGTAAGTGATTGGTGTGTACACCTCCTGTACAAATTCAGGTCCACTGGATTTCCCAAAAATTACCTAAAAGGTAAAAAGGAAAATGAATATTAAAACACCAAAATGTTTGTATTTCAATAAGAGAGAGAACATGCAAATTCCACATAGACTGAGCGGGGGATAGACATAAACCCCCAGTGGTTGGAATGTGAGGTAACAAAAAGACCCACCGAGCAAACACAAACAATATATTATCACCCTATTTTATATATATATAATTATATACATGTTAATAAACATATTTGTCAATCATTTACAATAAAATTAAAACCAAATAATAATTCTATGGTCAGCCTTTATAGTTAAGGGAATCATCAGAGAAAACCTTTGAAATACAGTAAAACATTGGATTGCGAGTAACTTGGTCTGCGAGTGTTTTGCAAGACGAGCAAAAAATTTGTAACCTAATTTTAAGTTGATAAACAAGTTGATGTCTTACAATATGAGTGTTACGTATACGCTTTGTCTGCCTGGCATCATGTGATCACAACTCAACTGATGGTTCTTCTCTCTCTCTCTCTCTCTCTCTCTCTCTCACTGCGGGATTTTGGGTAATCGTTTCCCATGCTCGGTCTCAGTCAGCGTGCTTCACTCGTATAGTCAAAATTTAGTAGAAAAGCACCATCTGAATAAGGGTGTAGCAGTGCGAGCAATTAATCTGTTTAACGACAATGCAATGTCCACATTTCCGCGAAATCGAAAAGGAGGCAAAAGAGGCTGTCTTTGGACGGGTTCCTTGTTAAAATCGCACAAACAGAAAAAGATTCCAGTGAGCCAACAGTAGCAGTGATTCCGTTAGTTATAGTGAAAGTCGTCCTACAAAATGACCCTCCTCTTCTCCTCTCTCGTCTCCCTCACACCATCCACGATTCTTTTCAAAGATAAAGTGCAGGTTAATTTGATTTATGTATTTTTACTTTATATTTTGTGTTAATCCATTTTCATATGAATATTTTTGGGCTGTGGAACGATTCATCTGAGTTTCCATCATTTCTAATGGGAAAATCTGCTTCGATATACGAGTGCTTTGGATTACAAGCACGTCTCCGGAACGAATTATGATCGCAAACCAAGGTACCACTGAATAAGTACAATAATATTATCAAAGAAAATGTTGCATATTGCTAAGTCGATCAAGAACTGCATATGATATATGAATGCATGTTAAAGGTTGCTGTGGTTACACAGTGTTCAGCACTGCGGTTCACACCTTCAGAGGTGTTGCCAATATTCCGTGTCCCTGCGCTTCACCATGCCCCCTGTATTTTGTGTGGGTTGTTAACTGCCCGCTCTGAGCACCTGCACCTGGGCACATAGGGTACCCGGCACGTTGGGCACCCGGCACGTAGGGATCCCGGCACGTAGGGCACCCGGCACGTAGGGATCCCGGCACATAGGGACCACGGCACGTAGGACACCCGGCACGTAGGGCACCCGGCACGTAGGGATCCCGGCACGTAGGGCACCCGGCACGTAGGGATCCAGGCACGTAGGGCACCGGCACGTAGGGTACCCGGCACGTAGGGCACCCGGCACGTAGGGATCCCGGCACGTAGGGATCCCGGCACATAGGGCACCCGGCACGTAGGGATCCCGGCACGTAGGGCACCTGGCACATAGGGATCCCGGCACGTAGGGATCCCGGCACGTAGGGTACCCGGCACGTAGGGATCCCGGCATGTAGGGTACCCGGCACGTAGGGCACCTGGCACGTAGGGATCCCGGCACGTAGGGATCCCGGCACGTAGGGACCCCGGCACGTAGGGCACCTGGCACGTAGGACACCCGGCACGTAGGGATCCCGGCACGTAGGGCACCCGGCACGTAGGGCACCCGGCACGTAGGGATCCCGGCACGTAGGGACCCCGGGACAGGGCACACTCACTGGCAGACAAGACTCCTGTTCTTCCCCACTCATAAACTGGATCTTGATGGTGATGTTCCTTGCTGACGCCAGCCTGTTTACAAAGTTCAGTCTCTGAGGATAAACATACAGCAGGTTCCTGAAAAGAAAGAGAAAATGGCTGGTTTTACAAGCCAGGTTGTATAATAATGATGGTTAGGCTTGAATAAAAGGTGTCTCCATCTTAACGTAGAGCAGTGTTTCCCAATCCGGTCAGATTTATGGTATTCCATTTTAACTGGACTTTATCTTCATTCAGACTACTTTAAATCCAGCTTGATCATACAGGCCCCAGCATAGAAAGAACACACACACACACACACACGTTCACTTCTTAACTTGAACAGTGACCGTCACAAATGCACATGTGTAGTTAAATACATCTGGCTGCAATTGAAGTGAGAACTCGAACACCAACTAAAGTAAACAATGAACAGAACACATTTTTCATACCAAACAAGAAGATCAAAATAACAACCAGCAATAAGAAGTCAATGTGAGGTGATTCCATCAGAAGTGCTCCTCAGCATTATGTATATTTAAGGACTAGTCCAAGGGCTTTCACCAATAGATCTGCAGAGTTCTTCCAGGAGCACCACAAACACATTCTTGTCTTCATACAATCCTGATATTGTCCTGCATTTCATGCTGTTAGCCACTGAATATTCAACATTACAAAATTCATCATGTTGCACTCGTCCACAGTTTAATTAAACAAAGGAGACCCTCTCCTGGAGAAGAAAAAACATATCTTAGTCATGCATTAGTGGTAGGGGGTTCCTAGCCAGGGTCCATTTTCATTTGTTGCTCCCTGATTTGACGAAGGTGGAAGATCCCTAGACTCAGCAGGGTCTTACAATGCAATGCTTTTGCTGAACACTAGGGGTCTCTGTCTTCCTGTATTGCATGCTTGAAACGTGCTCAACTGGGTTTATAATCTACTTCATACTGCTTACAGTAAAATAACATAGCATCATAAAAATATAATTATGATGTGTGGTTAGATGTTTATTTTTTGTGATTCTTTTTGTGATTGTTTATATAATTCCATCCATCCATCCATCCATTTCTGCTTAAGCAGTTGTGGGGAGAGGTGTGGAGCACATCTCAGGAGGAAGCATAAGGCATAGGAGACCTTGGATGGGGTGCCAGTCCATTGTAGGACACCATTATTTTACAGTTAGTTAAAAAAAAAAACACGGTAAAGGTTGTTTCAGGGGATGAGGAGCAGGAAACAGGTCGCTGAGGCTGATAAATGACTCTGAAACACAGGCTCTTATTCTCAAGAGCTTCCTGTAAGTTACTGAGCTGAGTTAGCAACTGCAGCGTCGCAGGGGTGGGAGTTACTTCTGTATTTATTACTTGCCTCCTGACTTCCATGACAATACCGTTAAGTAACATTCGCCTGTGGGCCTTCAGCCCCCAGACTTCCGACAAACATATGCATTTAAGTGTATGAATCAAGGCTGCAAGGTGTTAGGTCAGACAAACACATAACATAGAAGGAGAAAATAAAGAATTGATTCTGAAAGCAGGGCCTTTGACAAAAGAAAATGTCATATGAGCATTTGATGGTGACATTATCGTAATTCACTTCTCAATTCTTGGCTCGAACAACGACACTCTTCCTCTCGCGGCGAGGCCGTGCTCCTCTTCCAAGGCTGCTGAGCCGCCGTTCTGACAAAAGCAGACGTCATTCGCAGAGCGAGGCCCACCCCTAGGGCACGCGGCTATTATACGACGCTTTTCTTCTATAAACATGTAAACAAACCATCTGCAGTCTGGGGTATTAATGCGCCCGACTGCGCCAGGGCCAAGCGGAGGTAAGTACTGTCTCTGGTGACTGTGCCCAAGAATGCAAATAATGGGCTCAGTATCACTTAATGTTTTGGCGCCACTGAATCTCCACAAGTGGAATTTGGAATCCTGGAGGTGTGTGACAGTCCCCAGTCAGTCTGGCTGTTTACTGTCCCTACCTTGTCAGCTCAACATGCTTGCTATAATTATAATTAGACCTCAAATATAACACTTGCTTTTCATTACATACCTAAATACTGCAGTATTCATCTTAAATAAAATTATTTTTGATTTTTTTTGTCCTGTGTTTTTCCACTGTAATCTATTACGATACCGTCCCATGTTATTTACTGTCTGTACGTCACATCGTGGCCCTAGGGGAACATTTTTTCTTGTCACTGTATACTTTTACAATAAAGCCCACTTGTCTTGATTTGATGAGAATTTTAATATTCTTTCTGTTTTTTTATAAGGAACTGCAGGATGGGTGGCTTTAAGGGTCAGAATTTAACTCACCTGTAAATGTTATGTGGTACAAAAACCTCTTTGGATGGGAATTCTAGAACCTCTTTTAAAGGGCGTTGGTTCTTTTCTGTTACTGGTTTCACTGGAATCAGCTCAGGAGACAGACAGCCTGCCAAGGTCTCCGGAGCTGGACACACATCCAGGCGAATGGTGCCTGAGGACAAGCAGGGTGTTGGGTTAAAGAACAGACACAGTACATTCCGGTAAAGCTCAAGCAAACATGGCCTTCATCACAAGCACGCAAACCTGCCAGTAATTGTATTTTTAATGCAACCATAAAAATCACTGTAAACTAAAAGCTAAAAGTCATTTTGGCCTTTCATACCTGATCCTGACACAAACATGCAAGACTATTTGATTTTGATAATATTGGGAAAAATCATATTAAACACACATTTCAGCAATAATGAAATCTATCATAATTTATATCACTTCCACCACTCTTACAAACAGCTGACCCTTGACCCTAGCTCATCTGAGCCATTACCCCCATATTACCCCCATATTACCCCCTGTTACCCCGCAGTTGCACTGAAACCCCCCTCCCCTATTTTCAAACTGATGTTAACTACACTCTGCACTTATTGTTTTGTTTTGCACATACTGAGCAATTTTGTACATACTGCAAATATTGTACTTTCTACAACATTTCTTGCAGACAGCACTACTGCACTTCTATACACCAATAAACCACATATGCACATTACATATACCAACCAAACTGCATGAAACCACTGTCGCACTGTGTATATACTGGATGTATCAGAGCCACTGACAATCGGAGACAAATTCCCTGTGTGTGAACATACTTGGCCCGTCAACCTGATTCTGATTCTGACTTTTAAGGTCGATGATATATTATGCACAGCGAAATGGGTCTTTCTGCACGCTCGCTTCCAAATACAGGCTGGGGCAGGCACCTGTGATCGTCTTTATTCTTCTTTGCAGAGTGGAAGATCTCTTAATGTCGGCCAGAAACTTGAACAGGTCTTCATCGCTCAGTCTATCTCCTTCCTGAAACCATAGGGGAGCCCATTATCTTATATTTGTAGTCACGCCGACCGTTGCTCTGGGTATATACAACACGTATTTATCATTCTGTCAGCAGACTATAATGAATATAAGTAGTATGTCACACCAAGTAAATTAAAGAGAAGAGTGACTTCTTTTTTGTAATGAGATCTTGTAACTGATAACATAGCAGTTTAGGGACATTGTTACTGCATTCCTAAGAAAGTCTGTTATCTCATTGGTCGCATAGTGGAAGGTCTTACACTGTTATACCCTTAAGGGATTCACTACATTAGTGGGATAAGGTGGATAGACACATGGATTGTAGCCTCGATGTTGTAAACAGGACCTTATTCAAAATCTAACACATAATGTTGGCAGCACCAATTATCAGCCTTAGTGTGTAAACAGGGCATTCCTAAATCTAGGCAATGATCCTGCATCAAGACAACATCAACAGGCAAACTCTGGCCCTTTGCTGTGGGCCCAATCCGACAGGTTTTTATCACATATGTGCATGAATGTGTCATCTCTGGAATAACTGGTTGTTTTGCTTAATTTTCTGCTTCTGTTTTTAGTGTCGTCCTGGAGCTCCAGCGGCTGTGTAACAGCAGATAAAGTGCGTTGGCACGAGTGGTCTCAGCTTTTATCGAGGAGCAAAACTGGGGAGCTGGGGGTGAATGAAAGGGTGTACGGAGAAACATGGTAATGCAGTGTGGTCCTAATACAATGCAGGGGTGCATGTCATTTGACTCATTCTGCTAACCCCACGGCATAACCATCACCGCCTTTCTAGTTGTGTGAGCCAATCTTTACCATCTACTGCTTAAATTATATATTGAAAGTCACTATATCATTCCAGACATGGGGTAAATATCCATCCATCCATGCTTATCAGGTATATGGACCCTGAATCGCAACGAGAGAAGTGCACCAGGCAGGGTTACACCCTGGATGGGATGCCAGTCCATCACAGGGCACACAATCATACACTTTACAGAGAATTTAGAGATAAGTGCAAGCCTAAGTACATGTCATTGGCCTCTGGAGAGAAACCAGAACCCCTGGTAGAAACCCCGGCAACACAAGAAAAACATGTAGACTCCACACACAGAGTGGAGGTCATATCAACAGTACAGCCTGCATATACAGCTGCATTTCATTATACACCCAATGTACAGGTGACAGATAAAACTCTTTACTTTACTTTACTCTTACAAATCTGTAGATGTGAGAGATGTTCCTCACGCCTGTGGGAAAATGTGCCTAGCATGTATATTTTTCTGAAAATTTCAATAGAAATTAGAGTTACAGATATCGTCTCCTAGTGTTTAAACTGAAGTAATTCCACTGGCCTTTACTATTGCCTTAAGCTGCTTTGTGTACTTATAATATCTTCTTACGTTTAGTTATTTAGTAGGTGCCTTCATCCAAAGTGTTGTACAATTGAGAGAGCAGGGTCTGCCATTCCCTGGAGCCATTTGGGGGTAAGGGCCTTGCTCAAGGGCCCAACAGCGAAATCACGGCCAACCATGGGGTTTGAGTCAATACTCCTCTGATCATATGCGTCGTCCTAACCCACTGAGCTACACACCACCCCACTGCACATCATCTTCAAGAAGCCACCATGTTTCAGAATCTCTTCACGATAACTAACTAAGTACTGAAAACAGCACATCACTAGCAAGGTTTGGTGTAGAGGAGGAGCCACCCAAGGCAGACCTGCTTGCAGAAAGTGCTGATGGTGATGGTGGCGGGCTTGAAGGCCGTCAGGTTGTACTGGTCCTCTATGGAATTGAAGCGCTCTGAGTTCCTCCTGGGCAGGTTTCCCTTCTTCTCCATGTTGCTTTTACCTGCCCGGTGGGAGCCAATTCAGAACATTTCAGTAAAGGAGCATGCCATCCACGTTCTGTAACTGCTTGTCCTATTCAGGGTCATGCAGGGTCCAGAGACTATCATGGGGCTACTGCCACAAAGCAGGGAACAACCCAGGATGGGTGCTGACCAGTCACAGGGCACACTCACACATGGGCAATTTGGTAACTCCAGGTAACCTCAGCACGGACTGTGGAGGGAAACCAGAGTACCCAGAGGAAACCCCACAATGACATGGGGAGAACATGCAAAGTCTACATGGAGCCATGGCAGAGACTCGAACCTTGGTCCTAGAAGTGTGAGGCAACAGTGCTAACCACTGCACCACCATGCTGGCATGCCTTTCGCTAACTAATAATACACAACCCAGGCACATTGTAACTAAAGTCTCCAAATTAATAAATGTTTTGGTAAACATGTATACATGGCAGGTGGTATTTTTTCGATCTGTGTCCACACCATTCAGAGCTTCCGAGTCGGGCATGTCTCGTTCCAGGGTCGCCGTATTGATGACGCTCATGATGTTGACCATGGCCCAGGCGAAGGGCATCCGGTACCGACCCAGTCTCGAGCAGAACACTTCTGCCTGGCTCCGCAGCTTATCCAGTTTATCCTTGTTCTGGACAGGACAGAACAAAAATTTCAGGCACTTTGTGGCATAGTTACTGAATCTCCAAATCCCACAGCAAGGTCTCATACTCCCTGTGGGAGATTTCATCATGTCTACAGGTCATGGCAAAACTGCAAATCATCCATGATAAGGGAGTCTGCTGAAGCAGTGGTTCTCAGAATTCTATTGTCTATGAACCACTTAAACCGTCACAGATGTTGGACCCAGCTGGTTCAAAACAGGTCAAACTTCATTAAGGGAGTATTCTTCCCTCTGTTCTACATAGCTTTCGGAAAGATGACTGCAGTAAGTCAGGTCACATTTTGAGAAAACTGCCCTGAATTTTTTGGAATACATACTTACAAAAGGCCACGTTTTAAGAAATGCTATCTGCATCTGTTGGAGAAAACTCAAACTGCAAGTAAATGCCATATTGCAGGCACAGGTTGGTTGAGAAATTACAATGAGACAGAAAGTAAAAATGAAGTAGCAAAGATGCCCGACATGAAAGCATGTGAGACTGCTAATTACCTTTGTCGTGTCACTCTCTCTCATCACCATGTAGGGTTCTGCACAATCGCTGATCTCCCCCTGCTGCAGTACTTTCTCAATCTGAAAGACACATTATTCTGTTGGTGGCACATAATTGAACATTAAAGAAGACCCTCTGACTGGAAACTATATCATTCTGTAACCGAATGTTATGGAGATGCTTCCAGACTCACATGCAGTCAAAGCTTAACTCTGTGTTATTACTGATCATAACACGGAATATCGGGCTAGAAAAGCATCATTCATGTAAAAATAATGCAATGACGTAACTGTGTAGTGTTGAGAATAATATTAGTGAGAACAAAATATCATGATCGCTCAAACACTATGATAATCTGAACTGAACAAAAGATATAGATGAAAAGCATTAATGAGATTTTTTTTTGTTGTAATAATGGCCTTAATTGTCCACAGATAAAAATTGCCCAGAGACATTGAGTTATATAGGTCTTGTCAGTAGTTTTGTGCCAGCAAAACAAAACTGTAGCCACGGATGAGCAGAGTGAGTGCAGCATTATGTGCTTCCTGTTTGCCTGTTACAGGTTAGCCAGATGCTAGGAGTGGAAAGCAGCACCCTCTGTCATATGCTAGCATGTGCGGCCGCTAGCCTGAACCGAGGATAGCCAGATTATAGGAGCGGAAAGCAGCGCCCTCTCTCACATGCTAGCATGTGCGGCCGCTAGCCTGAACCGAGGTTAGCCAGCATTCCTCCAATGGCCGTGATGCGACAGCGGCCAGGGTAGGGCGTTCCGGACAGCCCACATCCTCCACAGCTGCCGGTCCTTCATAGAGAGGGACAATAGGCGGCTTGTTTCAGCAGCGGTGGCAGGAATGCGGCCAGGCCTTGGGCCGTCCCGAACCCAACTGACTGGGCCCGTTCACCACACGGCTCAAACACGCTACGTCCGGAAGGATGCACAAAAGGCCCCTTCACGCTTCTGTTTTTTTTTTTTTACAAAGAGGGTCACCCGTTACTTCCGTTAAGCACTTTATCATTTCCTTTTTTTGGTCTCCGCAGACATGTGGAAATTCATCATTCAAGAGGCTTAATCTGACACACACTGCCGATATGTTGCACCAACTCACAGGTGCACATGGAGCTGCTGATGAAATCACACAGAAACCGGAGATTAAAGGAAGACAGCAAATGGCCAAAGGCTTGACGTAGTGACCACAGGGAGGCCAGCTTTGCTAACAGGAAGCACTCTGCTAAAACTAGCCGCAGCAACAAATTATTTACAATGAAAACAATACAAAACACACCATGACAATATACTGGGTAAGAGGTATGGATGAACAGATACAATAATTATTAACTATAACAGACATATGATCAGATATGTGTCATATTAATACTGACAGAATGGAGTAATGTAACTGAGCATTGCACTTTTGTTTCCAGTACTTTATGATTCACTCTTTGCTTAGGTTGGCCTATACCAGACTGCATGCAGTGTCTATATTCTGATTAAACTGTTGTTTTAGGCAGGCACTGTGCAATCTATGGTATGTTTATCATTTGCATTTATGTCTATGCATACGTTATCAGGGAAAAGGGGAATCTTCATATTCCATTTGCTGTATAACTGCTTATGCTGGCTTGAAATTACTATTAACCAAGCACAACATACATTTAATAAAATACACCAAAATAAAAAAACAACAAAATTCGAATGAGGTCTGTTGGCTCAGATATGTTCTGATTAGAATGTTTACTGCTGCACGAGCAAGGAATAACATGGCCAGCAGGTACTCTTCAAAGTTTAGACCTTCACAACTAGCGGTCTCCATGAAACGCGTGGCGAGCTAGACAGGGACTGAACAATACCTATACCTTGATGACCAGGTAGATGTCTTGGGATGTGTTGGTGATGGAGAAGATTGCAGACTTGGCCAGAGTAGAGACGTCCGTGTGGGGAATGTGGGATTTCAGGGACACTTTCATCTGGTCTGAGTTCAGGTCACAGTAGAAGTTCTCGGAGATCTGTAGAGACATCAGTGACAGATTCATGGCACAGGGTTTGCTATATGGCAGATTCTGAGCACAGCTTATGCACCAGAACTGGGTGTCTCATGTCTAGTAAGGCATAAAGTACAAATTTACATCCAAAAAATAATGTTCAATTTTGTTTTAAGTATGAGTATAGAATATTTATTTACATTTGAAAAATGATGCATAATCAGTGAACAGATTGAGTTACAGCACAACGCATATGGCATCATTAATTGCTATATGTGACAGACATGTGAAATTGTCGATAAGTGATTAATTATAAAGTTTCATATACTGTACAGAAAGAGTTGACTCCAAACAGTTGAGAGAACTGATAAACCAGTGTCTCTCAACCCAGTCATCGTGGACCCCTAGACAGTCCACATTTTTGCTCCCTCCCAGATGGAATTGACTAGAACAATGTGGACTATCTGGCAGGGAGCTGAGAGGGAGCAAAAACTGGGACCGGGTCGAGAAAAATTGTGTGATAATGAATAAGAAAGTCTAAGAAAACGGAGGGACAATTGTGTGAAATTTGAGTTAGTTTAGCCTCTATCTCTACCAAGAGTAGGGTGAAGTTATATTTTGGAATGCAAATAGCAAGTTCAGGGCTGGATGACCTTGATAAGAATCTGGAATCTGAATGACTTCAGTGCACACTTGGTGGAATGTCTGCCTTTCAGTTCGCTGTGTTATTGCTATAATGTACAACCATCCTACACTCACTGTGCTGCTTTATATACTCCTTTAACAGCGGGACTGCAGACTGGGCAGCTGGGTAGGAAAAGCTAACGAGGCAAAGAGGCCTCAAGCAAACCGATGTCACAGTGCAGGAAGATTTCCACTGGGTCTGGATAAAATGCTCTACGGTCTTACTTTGGACAATTCCAAAAATTAAAATGGGGTGCCGTTCGATGCTAAATTTTCAGCGGACTAGAACAACAGAAGCATCTGAAGAGTTATACAAGTGATACGACATTGCAGAGAACCTGTGCATTGGCTAAAAATCCAGGGAATCTACTAAAGGCGTCAGTCATCAGTGTGTTGACCCAACACACTGATGAACTGATGAACAACAGCTGATGAACAGAGGAAGAGAAGCTAAGGATAGGGACTTCATTATGGACCATGAGGCAGCAGGGCCAAATGACCTTAGAAACTATGAGTTCATGAACCTTCCTTCCTCTGAACTATCATTGCTGTCACAAACCTATTAAGCCGACTGCAAATTCCAGCTTCCAAGGTCGTCTTCATTTGTCTCTGCCACGGCTCCTTTACTGCTTCAGAGTGCAAACAGCATGAGCGGCTGTCTCTCCATATGCTGACTCAACCAAGATGACCTCAACCTTCTTGTGTGGGTGGATCATCTCTAGAGAGCCCCTTGACAAAATAATTTAGAGCCTCCCGCAAAAGACCACGATGCTTCTCAACTCTAGGTCAGCAAAGCTTTTCTATCTTTCTTAGCTCCAAACGACCCTCACTGTCTATGGCCAGTATTTTATAGGACATTTTTATAGGACAATGTGACGTTATTTAATCATTTAAAACAAGGTGCGTGTGGGGACACTGCTGTATGGAGCTAAATGCTCTTCAGAACGTCACACAAACCACACGCTGACAATAATGTGCCTTATGAACACGAATGGAATTTGTTGTGTATTTCTACAGCTCAGAGCATTTGTCCTTGCTGCATGCTTGATAACCAAGTCATTCTTTGTGGGTCCCCACCCTGCTATAAGAGGAACACATTTTTATCTTATAAGAAGCAAGTATAACCCCCCCCCCCCTTTAATCCCTTCCTGCCCTTTCTTATTGTTTCTAAAACAGGAAGTACAGAGTCTTTTTAAGCTGGTACAGGCAGGCCACTTGCCCAAGCCCGTAGGCTGGAAAGCTTGTCCCCTTTCTCCCCGGTCAGGTTCAGGCTGATTCCGCTGTGAGATGCAGGCGAGCATATCCCTCCATGGAGGAGTAAAGTACGTGCTCCTCTCTGAGGCTGATGTCACCGTTTTACACATTCATCATGCCCTGTGCCATGAACTTTGTTTATAATTCAAACAACACTTCACCATCTGTTTAAACCAGCTTTCAGTTTTAATCTGACTTAGCAGATGGAATATTCAATATGCAGAGAGAATGATGGAACATAATTATTCTTAAGTCTCTCTTCCTGGGTTCTGCCTGTAAATGCACGTGTTTTTCCCTGCTGACCAAGGAGGGAGACTTGAATGTTATAGATCAGGGTTAAAAGAACAACAGACAAGCAATACAGCTTTTATATCTGAATGTGTGTGAAAGAAGGCTTGAGCTAATTGATCTGTGGAAAGCTGATGGATGGTTTTGCTGGGAACGGCAGAAGTCAGTAGATCCATTATCTCATAATGCAGGAACAAGTTAAGCTGAAGCAGCCTGCATCAGCTGCTGAGTAATGCGGAAGAACCGCAGAGAGTCTACTCTCTCTCTCTCTCTCTCTCTCTCACACACACACACACACACGCACATGTAGGGTAAACATATCCTTATGGGGACCGCTCATTCACACACACTCACACACACACAAACATGGGCATTTCTTATACAACACCAGTCACATTTTGTCAAATTACTGGAATAGCTGTTGCATATGCTTTCAATATGATCTAATAACAAGAACATTGGTGATAATGGAAAACAAATTAGGTCAATGTTGACATAACCTGAACAAAAACACATCTGTTGGCTGCAGCCAAATGAAGTAGCTGTTCCTATTTAAGAATTAATAGAAGGTTTATGTCAAATTTCAGAAACAGCAAATAATCCCTTAGGAAATTATTGTGGCATTGGATTAGCACAGGATGATATGCATTACCGCATCCTTATGGCCTTTCTCTACCTAGTGCCTAAAATATTTCAAAGATTTCTACTGACCTTTTTCTTCTCTTTCAGATCATACAGGGCCATTGTTGCAAACATAGGTTCTATGTCTATCTCAAACCTGCAGAAAATAAAGTATGTGGTGGGTTACATTGAAAAAGGGGGGGATTTACTTTATTGTTCTCAAACAAGTGGCCACAAAATTACTCTGGAACCTCAGTGACTGTGAGCAACAGCCACAAATCACTATAAAAATAGACTAATGCTCCATGTCACATCAGTGTGGTTACCCAAATTGTCATGATTTATGCATATCACACAAAAGAACGTGCCAAGAAGGCACGTTAAAGCTGATAGCAGCCAGCTGTCAAGCTACCGTGACGGATGTGAACTTTCCGCTGCACTTAGGCTGAACCTCTGGCTATTTGGCAGAGTTGAGCCAGGTACACCTCCCCCACAACTAGGACACATGCAAAAGGACCCCCGGCACATTTATTGGGTACAGTGTGTGTGTAACAGGCATCAAAACATGCATGATACTTCCTATATTTTACACTTTAGCCGGAAAAACAAGATGCTTATAGAATAATGAACAGAACATGCATTTATTAAAATAAAAGAGCTTTCTTTCGAGTAACCAGACTGACATACTTGATAGCCTGACAGCGTATGAGGATCCTACGGCCGCTGTGCTCCTTGGGACAGTCAGGAATCGGCCGTATCTCCACAGCATCTTCCTGTCGTGGGATCAGAGGATCAGCGACAGGCTACTTTTAGCCCGGCGGCTCTGCGGACAGCCAGCAGCCGCAGCAGGTGGGGGACGGAGGTGCGTACCTCGTCAGCGGGGGGGTACAGGGCAAAGAGTTCGGGGTGCCGGTTGGCCTGGCGGGCCTCCTGGTTGTGGCGGTCCAGGTCATCGGGGTTACTGAAGCACAGCAGGCCTTCAACTCGCACGTCAGGCTGCAGCACGCGCAGGTCAAAGTCCGAGGATGTCAGCGTCCGGCCTGAGTCATCGCTGATGACTGCCGGGGGGGGCGACTTTACCTGACAGAGTTTACAGTGTGGGGGGGGGGGGGCACATAGGGAGGAGGTGATAGTTAGACGTTTAACAGGTTACTTGGCACAAAACTACCCTTTCTTTAAGCCTTCTGCCGTTCTAAGCAGTCAAAAATGTCTTTATTGAATCAAAACAATCACCCAGAGGATGTATCTCATCAACAGCCTGGAAGATTTCCATAATCACCCAGTTCAGGACCCAAATGGAATCACTCGCTCCCCAAACAGGGAGTTCTCAGGGTTCAGTTCACTTTGTGCCCAAAAACAGGCAACTCAAGCCAGCGGGCCATTTCCCGGTGCCCCTTCCTTTTCTGACAGCCCCAAAGAGCTCCCTGGCTACACCAGCAGATTGCCAATTATGCAGAGGCTTTGGGCGGACCAATTACCGCCGACAAAGATGCTGCTTTTCCACAGCCCCGTGCTCATGAAAAAAACATGCGGCCAATGGGGGCTCTTCATGCCCATCATTAGAAGCTGGATCAACTCGGCCCAGGAGGAAGTGGGAACAGCTGAATGAATGAATGCTGATGCTTCACCATGTGTTGAGGTTTTAATGAACACCATTGCAGCAAGGCTGCAGAAATCAGGTGATTAGCGTTAGATCTACCGAGATTTCACCCTAGTCTGATGCCTACAATATTTATGCAAATGACAGAAATGAGAATACAATGTCATATTTTGTTAGGCATGTTATTACTTTCCTGATCAAAGTATGAGTCTTTGTTATTTTCCTAAATCCATCTCCAGATACAGTCTCTCACTGTACACTTCATGGGCTCCCAAGTCCAACAATTATCTGCCTCATCCAGAGACAGTAAACCTGCTTCAGGGCAGTCTGGGATATAGGTAGACATTCTGTTATTGACCATCAGTCAGAAAAACATGGACTGCACTGACATCAATAGGGGAATTTTGTGTATGCAGTTTGTTCAGGGGCATTTTCCCAAGGGGATGTGGCCAACTATCCAGGAAATTCTGCTCTAAATTATAAGCTTGTTTAGATAAGCCAGCCCATGGGAGTTTGCAGGTTCTGAAAACACACCTGAATATATCTAAAGAGACGTTTGGTTCAAATATAAAAGTGTAAAACAAAGGGGGACAGGGCATTTGTGGCCATTGCATCTTAATCATGGAACTCTCATCACAACTTCATCACTGAATCGTCATCGACTGAGTAGCTTAAAACCAGACTAAAGACTCACTATTACTCTACAGCTTTCTGTGATCTTCAATGATATGGCTTCTGCACAGGCTTGACAACGTGCACGTGCTTTTGTTTTACTGCTGGTTTTTGCTTTATTTTATGCTTTTTTGTTTTTAATCGTATCTCAATTGCATTTTTCATTGTTTTTAAATTGTTTTGCTGTGGTTTTACTTCATTTTTTATGTTGCTGATTGTGAAACACTTTGGCTAGGGCACTATAGTTGCTGTTGTAAATGTGCTATATAAATAAATTGCCAAAATATCCATCCATCCATCCATCCATCCATCCATCTTCCAAGCACTCATCCTGGTCAGGGTCATGGGAGGAGCCTATCCCTGCCTTGGGATGCCAGTCTTGTGTGAGGCGTACACACAAGCTCACACACACACATACACTATGGGAAATGTAATGGCGCCAGTTACCCTAACTGCATGTCTCTGGGCTATAAGGGGAGACAGGAGTGCTTAGAGGAAGCCTGCATGACATGGGGAGAAAATGGAAACTCCACACTGTTTGAAATCATTTAGGCCCTCAATGATAAATACTGCAGGATAGGTTTACAGTGTGAAAAATCTAGCTTAATTAAATTTGAGACCAACATGCTTTTGGTGTAAATATAGCTAGAATATACAGATACTGAACAATACAAAACAAGGCAGCGAATTTGATCCCTCACATTATATGTATATTTTCTCTTTGTTCCTGATCCAAGAAAAACTCTGGTTGGGAGCATCTATCCCAAAGATAATTTTAGTGTTAAAGTTACACCCTCTCTCTGTACCATACTGGAAGGGAGGAACACTGTGCCAAGACAGTATTGCTACAGTAATGGACAGTAATGGTATGGTGTCAAGTAACAAACAGCATTCATACGCTTTGTTGCATCCATCCATTGTTCATAACTGCTCATCCAGTGCAGGGTTGTGACAAATCTAACCCAAGAAGCTACCTGGAAGGTGAAGATGAGCCCAAGATAAGGTATGCAGGCACACACACGCACACACACACACACACACACACACACACGCGCGCACACACACACACACACACACACACACACACGCACACACACACCATAGTATCCTGGGTATTTGGAGGAAGGCCAAGCAAGTTGCAAATACAACATGCAAATTCCACATGCATACAGTTGGGTCCGGAATCATAGCAGAAACCTGAAGATGTGAGGGAAGTCTGCTTCCTACCAGGTGACCTGAGAGAGCAACTGGGTCCAAAAGGGCATATCATACGTTTTACAAACTCTCACATAAATCAAATTTTATGCAAGTCGGATTTACCTTCCCATACCATACCATACCATACCATTCAGGACACAAAAAACATACAGATGACACGTCTGGGTTACCTTCCGAAAGTGAGAACATAAGTCAGCCTGGACTATCTCGATTGTGATACGGGAGAAGTCAAATATACTGCACAACGTAAGATACAATATCACACACTAAACCTCTATAGTGGCAGCATTCTTGGTGTATTTTGGTTCATGCCACATGCACATGTGGTAGAATTTGAATGCTAACAGCTGCTTTGTCTGCCTCAGATTACAGCATATTTTAGCACTTCTGTCAACTCAGGTTGTTTTTTTCATATGTCTGGATTTACTTAATTCGGTTTTATACAAGTCGAGAGCTGCCTTTGTATGAATTTTGATGCCTGAAATTTCCTTGGCCCTCACCAGTATAAGCATTTAGTTGGAAGACTGATGGATGAATGGATGACTTCTTTATGTTTTCATTCCAGTTTGCCCAGTGAGATGAGGACTCACACATTACACGGCTGTTTGTTGCGTGTTGCGGCGTGTTTGGTTGCATGTTTGTTTTGCAGGGTTACCTGATGTTCTTGTTTGTCTGGCACGACATCACTCTCAAAGGTCTGCTTCAGAAGGACCTTCTGCAGGCCTGACCTATCCGAATACACGCTCCAGCCACTCCATCCATCCCCCTGGCACCTGTTCACACAACGGTCACAGATATGAAGCCGTCTTCACTCGACCGGGACCGATTAGCGAAGTCCCGTGAGAACTCAAGCGGAGGGCAGTGTTTGAGGCACGAGGAGGGACGGAGTTCTCAAACCACGAGAAGCATGTGGCTTATCTTCTGGGTGAGACTGCATGTTATAACTAACTGCCACTTGGGCTTATGGAGCGTTTCCCTCCTGAAGTGAATCATGAGAAGGAACTGGTGGACGTGTGCATATGAATTTGTGTGTATGTGTGAGAAGCCAGAGGCAAGTTCTGCCACAGTACCTCCTCCTGACCACCAGCCATGGCTGTGTGTAACTCTGGACGCAGTCTCGCACGTGAGGGTCAAGCTCCACCCTGTTGGCACATACAGGAGACCAAACTCTGTTAAAGACAGTGTGGATGCTCTCACATACACACTGCAGACAGCAATACTGCACTGTCACAGTAGATCATTTTTTCTGAATCCTGTCGTTGGTGATCCACTGACAGTCCATGTTTTTGCTCAAAAAATGTGAACTCTCTGACAGGGAGCCTAGTGGGAGCAAAAACGTGGACCGGCTGTGAGTCCCCAAAAACCGGATAGAGAAACACTGATTTATACAGTTACATACATACACATTACACAAGTGCAAAGCATCAAGACGCACATGTATACACAGCACACTCTGCAGCACAGTCTCCCACAGACAAATTTAGAGACAAACCACTCCAAACCTTCAAGGAACTTCCCAGACATCCACCCAATAAACTGTTTATTTAATAATCTGTTTATTTCTATCTCTGGCAAAACAACACAGCCTGGCATGTCCCTTGTGGCCCCGAGTGGAAACTCATCGTCGGGGCCCTAACAAACCGTTGTGCAAGAGCCAGCGATAAACCATCACAGTGCCAGTTAGACTGATCAACATCACGTCTGCCTGCCTCCATTGAAGGTGCAAAGTCAAAGACAGCAGGTTTTGATTGTACATCGACACAGACACTTGCTCTTTTGTTTTAGGTATTTTCTTTATTATAGGATGGTTTATCTTAGGCGTAATCACTGAATCTGCTTGGCAGGAACTTGGCGAGGGTTCCCCAGGCTTCAACTTTACCAAGTGTGTGCGGGGAGGGGGGAAAAGGGGGCTGGGGGGCAGATTAAAGTCCAGATTAAATAGGTGTTAGGGATGCGGATCAGAGTCCCTCAGTTGGGTAGCCTTGATATAGTTGGTAGGTCTACCTTTACATGCGTGATATTACACAGAACAATTTAGGGGGGTGCTGGGTGGATGGTATATTTCCCAAAGGGATGTTTTCTGTCATTTTCTCCCACATGTAGGATGGCATCCAGGTGCATCCCGTGACGACTAGAGCCATCTCCTTGGGGGGTTCCAATACCCTCCCGGGGAAGTCAACCACACAATTCACTAGAAGACGCCCGGATGTGGGGACCTACTCCTGCTCCGGCACCGAGTGCCGAACCGTCCGGCACTCCCTCTCCACCAGCTCCACCTCCAGGTTGTCATCGGGGAAGTCGCCGAGCTCCTGCATGAGTTCAGCGTCTCCGCTGTTCAGCTGTGTCATCAGGACCTCCTCCAGGTCAAGGGGCTCCAATGCGTCGTAAGACTGAGGCTGTGGGGGAGCAGAGGTGGCACACAGTCATCAGACCCATCATGCGACAGGTCTGGGTCATGACACAGACATCGAGTTACAACACCGTGAGCTGCCAGACAGGTACGATTACAATGCAAAAATGCCACAGAGATGCAGGAATATAACACAGACAATGCTGACTTACAACACAGAGATCTAACACATGCAGGCAGGGTTACAACACAGAGATCTCACCTAGACATACAGGCAGGAAGGGTTGCAACTAGTGATGATTTTTTAATTAACTTTTTTTTATTTGTATTATTTTCAGTTTTCATTTGGAATCCAGTTTCATTTTAGTTATTCTTCAGTGCGGTTTTATTTAGTTTTTATTAATTTATATTTTGTAGTTACATTTCAAAGTTTTTACATATTTCAGGTTTATTTTCAGTAATTTTATTCAAGGAATAAACTAAAAGTTGTAGAGCTGTTTTATGTGTCTTAACTTTAGAGAATCCTGCATGAATACACAGCGCACATTGTGTCTTTAAAATGGGCAAAACATGTACCAGGTATTATTAATGGTAAGATAAATAAATCACTACTTTACCTAAGCAGTATTTAAAAATGGCAACTGAAAATATTTGGTGTCTGTTTTTATTTTATTTCAGCTAGTTTCAGAAACAATTTTTATAGCTTTTTATATCACTTTTTGTTGTACTTTTTCATTTTATTTTTGTGTCTTATTTTATTTTATTTTATTTTATAATTATTTTATTTTTATTGTATATTGTTTTAGTTTTGTTTTCGTTACAAATAATTACCCTGATCACAACACAGAGATCTTAGAAGGAGAAGGCAAGATTACAGTGCAAAAGGTTCACTGACAGAACACAAGATTACAGTGCAGACAGTGAAAGGACCAATGGAAAATAATGTGATTTAACCTGAGAGGCAGCAAAGTAAACAAACAAACAAACAAACAAACAAACAAAGCTGACACCCTTACCCTGGCCAAACAAACAGTCATTTTTTCCACAACATTCCAAGTGCCGCCTTTGCTTTGTTAACACTAGCAATCAAGTCGCCTTTCAAAACCACCGTCTTTAGGTTAATTCCAGGGCTGCAGATGTGACTACTTTGTGTCACACTACTTACACTGGCAAAAATATGTACTGTGAAAAGAAACAATATGCAGACCATAAGCTGCCAAGGCACATGGCCCAATGTAAAAACAACACAACAAGATAGACAAACCTAGTCATCAAACGATGGAATGAAGAAGGGACAGAATGACACATTACAGCTATATAATGCACCTGAAGCAAAACAAAAAGGCAATCCAAGCAATAATTCACATTACACATATAAACTCACCCTTTAATAACTGAGGCAGGACGGACTAGACAAGTTTAATCACGATATGCCCCGACAGATCCCAAACCTGTGAAACGCAGAGCCTCTGCTTGTCTACCCCTGAGATACACATGTCCACAAGGCGTTTAAATCAACCTGATCAAAGAAAATGCATTTCTCCCTCTCTTAACATATGCAGAGATCATACATGCCACAGAAATGGACAGGTTTTGCTAATCTTTCCAGCATTCCAGTTTAGCATGAGATTTTGTCCTTCAATTCAATTCAATTCAATTCAATCCAATTATATTTGTATAGCAGATTTTTACAACATTACATTGTCTCAATGTGCTTCACAGCATCCCCGCCCAAAGCCCCCGGTGAGCAAACCAGAGGTAACAGCGGCAAGGAAAAACCCCCTAGTAGGAAGAAACCTTGGGAGAAACCAGCCTGAGAGGGGGAGCCCATCCTCCAGGGTCCAACAGAGGAAGTAAATAAAGCAAATATGCAATGGTATGGCAGCACAACTGCTATGGACCGCAAACGCCTGCAGAGAGTGATAACAACTGCGGAGAAGATCATTAGGACTCCACTGCCCTCTTTGCAGAGCATTTACCATCGCAGAGCACTGAGGAGAGCTGCCTCCATCCTCAAAGACCCGACACACCCCCAACACGGACTGTTCACACTCCTGCCCTCGGGACGAAGGTTCAGAAGTGTGAAATCTAGAACATCCCGGCTAAACAACTCTTTCTTCCCCACTACAATCAGACTCCTAAATAGACGACCTACCTCATTTACATAACAGATCACTTTGCATATCATGACCTACCTCATTTGCACAACAGGTCACTTTGCACTTTAAGCTCTTTTTGCACTATTTTTCTCAAGTATGCTCTTTTGTACTTGTAATTTAATTTAACCTGGCATTTGTGAGTGGACAGCAAAGTAAGAATTTCATTGTACTGAGAAATACTACTTTTCTGTACATATGATAATAAACGCTTTGAATCTTGAATCTTGAATACTACTAGAATAAATTAAAAAATGTTGACAAATATCGAAATTAAAATGGCAGTGCTGTAGTCTTCCACTGCCCTCCCTGGTGCTGTGGGTGTCGAGCATGTTTTGGTGTCCTCCAGGTAATCTGATCTGCCATGGTGTGTGAATATGTGACCAGTAATGGATCGGAATCCTATCTGTGGTGTCCTGTATTGCCTGGGATGGAAACCAGGTGCACCTGTACTGGATAACTGGTTAGCGGATAACGTATTAGAAGATAACTAATTAGTGCAACAGATGAAGTGGAATTCAAACATCAGTCTTCCCAGGCCATTCCAAAGCCTAAAAGACACTCATCTGCAGTTATAAGAGTAAAATCAGTGCAATTATCACTTAAAAATATTTTGTTTCTAAATGTATTTTAACCATCCAGATCATGGAATACCTGTAATTCTGAGGGGGTGCTGTTAGGTCTAGACTTGGCAGGCTTTCAGCAACACCAGCAATGCCAGAAGCCCTTTTCCACTCTGCCCGACACGCAAATAGCCTTCAGATCTCTACCATCTATTCAGCTTGGTATGACAAGCATGCTTCCCGGGGACGTGAAATACCCTCTCATAAGGAAATTCATGCTTAAAGACGCTGTAAACTATTTTTTTTCTTCCATTAAGTTTCCACTAAGAAATCACCATTGTAGCTTAGCTGGCTCTTCTGATCCATAGTGAAGTTAAATATTATACACGTTTTGACAGTGTTGCCAACTTTGCTCAGCTAGCTGGCAAGAGATTTTCAATTCAAGATAAGTCTGCATGCTCATTTACACGTACGTGGCAGCTTTATTATCTTGTAAATAGTCTGAAGGGTTTGTAAATTACCCCAACACTTTTCATGTAGTTAATTTTAGGTCTATAATAGAATAATATTGATTTGCTGTAAGATTTCTTGCATGAGCATGGGAGTCTGAAAGCATGAGTGTCACACCGGATGCATGAGAGTTGGCAGCCCTGCTTTAAATGGATGGATATTTTGGACTGGAGAAGTTCCTCAGTGAAGGTACAACAGCAATGTCCATCAGCTATGACAGGCCCGTTTCAGGTCTTACGCAGCTCCAAACCATCCAATTTCCTCATATCAGGTCTGTCCAGTTACAAGCGTAAAATGAATGTAATTCTGGTAGTAAAGAAATCAGGGTTATACTTCACTTGACCGGACACAAATAAAATGGCATTATAGTATTACTTATGTATTAATTAACCACAAATTAAATCTTAGCTACATACTGATCTTATGTTAATTCATCATTAATGAATCATGACAGCAGATACTATATTTGTTACTATATCTGTTATTCTGCAAACCTTTGTGACCTACTGAAGCAACAACGGAAGGAAGAAGGCATGAATAACACAAGTGAGTCCCTGAGTAAATGGCAGTCTATATAACAATGTCATCAGCTAGTGATTTTCAGGTGAATGTATTAGATGACCTGTTCTTACTGATATGGAGGCATGGCAGTGATTTGATAATTTTCACAAAAACAAACAATTGACTGGTACAGGGTTGTGTGCAGACGCTCACAGGCACCTTCCCGATTAAACAGATCTGCAGCAATTCAAGCATGTTCAAGCAGTTGGTGATGCCAGAGAGACAAACGGCAGGCATATTTCACATACATATTTCAAATATCTTTTTAAGCTATCTACTGTCCCTACGTGGGTTTGAGAACCTGAAAAACTTAAAACTAGCAATGCACACGGATAAACAACAACACAACTAATTTCAACCCAAACAAGAGGTGACAAACAGAAGATAAAAAATTATAGTATAAAAGTCTGAATACGCTAAGCTGGTTAAGTGTAAACCTGCACTTTAATATTTTTGTGCAGCAGAACGGGAAGCCCATTCCATCAGCCTAGCAGGCCTAGTAGACCTTTCTATCCATATAATCTACATGGACTGAAACAAAATATGACTAAATGTTACCTTGGCCCCCCCAATTTTACATATTCAAGGATTTGCAAGGTCTGGGCTCCCTGAATCTGTCAAGGTATCCAGACCCCTCTAACTCTCCTGACGGAAAAGCTTTGGTACTGTAGCTGAGAAAACGCCAAGATTCGAGGTAGAAGATGAATCCTCCTGCCTGCAGCTCAGAGCACTGGTGCCAGTGAGACCACAGCGAGCTCTCCAGTTGGTACGTAACGATTTGCACTCTACGGACACTCCAGATTCAATCTGCTGCACTCCCAAATGTTGTCTCCCAGTTTCTGGATGTATATAGCCCTCAACTTCTGTAGCTTTTTGCAGGGCACCTCACAGCCTCTGCCCGCCTCCCCCGCCCGC